TTGTGATGGCTCTTTCTGCCACAGGGCCTTTGCATATGCTTGTTCCTTTATGTGGAATGCTTTTCCCTACCCTCTTTGCTTGGTTAACTTTTATTCATTCTTTGGCTCTTGATAGTCACCCCTCAGGGATGTGCTTTCTGACCTCCCTGGTCAGATCATAGGACTATGGATCTTTCATCTGTAACATTTATCATTTTTACATTTGAAAAATGCTGGAGTCCATATCTCCCATAGAATTCTGAGTTCCATGAAGTCGGAGACCATGTATGTTTTTCCATAAGACATTGCTTAACCCAGTGTCCCGCATACAACAGGCATTTGCAGATGGAAGATACAAAAGGAGGGAGGGAAGAAAGGAAGGAAAGGTGTGGTGAGTGAACTTAAAATATGCGCTTTTGGAAACTTCTAATGGTGGAGAACTCACTGACTTATTTAAGCCAGCTCATTTTGTTTTCAGTGGTTTTGATAATTAAGGAAATGTTTCTGTTATTATTAAGTTCTAATATCTGTCTTTATACCTTCTTCCCACTGTCCCTGGTTCTGTCCCTGGAGCACTAAATAACACATCCAGTTTCTTTTTCACATGTTTTAGGGAGATTATGGTTTCTTGAATCAGTCTTTCCAAATGTTTACTGACCTAATTAATACTGGATATTACAGTGAAGAGTAAACTGACACCCCAGGGTCAATGACAGGCACAAACATGTCTTTGAAGGCCTTAGTTTTATCTTGGATCGGTCATTTGAATTTTGCATTCTACTCAAGAAAGTATATTTATCTTTATATATGAGTATGTTTCCCCTAAATCTTTTTTTTTTTTTTTGACGCGGAGTCTTGCTCTGTGCCCCAGGCTGGAGTGCAGTGGCGCGATCTCGGCTCACTGCAAGCTCCGCTCCCCCGGGTTCACGCCATTCTCCTGCCTCAGCCTCCCGAGTAGCTGGGACTACAGGCGCCCACCGCCTCGCCCGGCTAATTTTTTTGCATTTTTAGTAGAGACGGGGTTTCACCGTGTTAGCCAGGATGGTCTCGATCTCCTGACCTCATGATCCGCCCGTCTCGGCCTCCCAAAGTGCTGGGATTACAGGCTTGAGCCACCGCGCCCGGCCTCCCCTAAATCTTTAAATAAAATTGATAGGAATGATACATGTATTAGTCCATTTTCACACTGCTATAAAGACATACCCGAGACTTGAGTAATTTATAAAGGAGGGAGGTTTAATTGACTCACAGATCAGCATGGCTGGGGAGGCCTCAGGAAACTTACAATCATGGTGGAAGGTGAAGGGGAAGCAAGGCACCTTCTTCACAAGGTGGCAGGAAGGTGAAGTGCTGAGTGAAGGGGGAAGAACCCCTTATAAAACCAGATTTTGTTAGAACTCACTCACTATCATGAGAACAGCGTGGAGGAAACCACCCCAGTGATTCAATGACCTCGACCTGTCTTTCCCTTGACATGTGGGGATTATGAGGATTACAATTCCAGATGAGATTTAGGTGGAGACACAAAGCCTAGCCATATCAAGATGCTTTTTCGGTCATGAAGTTTTGAGTACCACCAGGGATCTCCTCACTCCAGTGTGCAAATGGGGACTCTCCCTTTATAAACCTTTTCCTTTTTATAATGTAAAACACCTCCAAAAGCATCATGTACTAGCACATTATCAGTTTCTTAATGTTTTCTTAAGATGTGACAGAATTCACCCCAGCTGACTAGGTATGCGCTGAGTAGGGCAGAGAACAGTAAACCTGATCCCCTTGAAAATCAACTAAGTTTTAAAATTCAACCTATAATGGTGGTTATCTCTGGGGAGAAGAAAGACAGAGGGAACCCAGAGAGATACCAGGGAGAGGGCTCTGAAAATATTGACTCTGTTGTTAAGCTAAGAGGCACACGAGTGTTCATTTCATATAGATACTATTTTCTAAGTATAGATACTTACATATAGATATTATTTTACATGTAGATATTATTTTCTAAGTATGAACTATTCTTCTAGTTAAAGAGTGAAAAAAATTAATGTAACCTAAGGATTTGTCATTTCCTTGCTGGCCTATATTTCTCTTCTAGTTCATCAGGAACTCTAGTCAACTCTGCCTACAGATAGCATAGGCTATTCTTAAAGGGAAGTGCCCCCATCCTGTTCCTGTCTAGGTAATTTTTGGACTAAGGGCAAACCTTTATATTTAATCCTTATATATGTCTTCCTTTAGTAATAATTTCAGTCAGTTGACATATCTTTGAAACATGTTTTTCTGAAATGCTTCAAATCAGTTCTTCTGAATTTGGTATCATTTGGTAATTCAGTGAACATGCTTTCTCCCTTGGCTTTGTGTGTATCATTGAGCTTTTTTTTAAGTCAGTAAATTCTGAGGTTAAATGTTTTTGAGAAATATCCCAAACATATTCCAGCAGTCAAATAGGTTTGAGAAATACTGGCTAAACAAAGTTTAATTAAATCATCCAACATCCTGTTTATTAATTTTTTTACTACATACCTCTTATGTTTTCTTGACTATGAGACTTTTCTGAGCCTTTATTTACATGATGATGAGAATATACCCACATAAATTCCAAATCCACTCTGGTGTCAGTTTCTGGATAGGTTAGGGTAAGTTAGGTTATGTTTGAATGACAACCCCCAAATTGCAGTGACATAAGATAGCAAAGGCTAACTTCTTGCTCGTGCTGCCTGTATATCTTTGGTCAGCAAAGTCCATAGGAGATGCAGGCTGGTGAACCAGCAAACACTTTGAACATTTCTAGTTTCTTCTTTCTCCTCCTTCTTTGTCTTCTCCTTCTGTTTTTCAGTAGAAACTTACTGAAATATGTTGCTAGGTTTTGTTTCTTTTTGTTTTGTTTTGCTATGGAGAAAGAAAGTTCCGGAGAGTCTTCCTCCAGCACTTAAATGTTCTAGCCCAGAAGTGACACTTGTCATTTCTGCTTACAAACTCATTGGCCAGAACTAGTTACATGGCCCCCATCAACCACAGAAGTATCCAAGATGTTCAGTCCTCCCAATGGGCTTAGAAGTGGGAGAGCCAGAAAGATATGGTCAGCATCATTAATGAGTTTCACATGTGAATCTTGTATACAGCACTTCTCAAGATTGTTCATAGAAACTTTTCTTCATGAGGCATTTGGAATACTGTGCTTCATAGGAGCTACTTTGGGAAATACTAGTTTCTAGTCTGGAAAACAACAAGGTCCAGTAGAAGCAAATCCACTAGAGACTGTCTTTCTTCACTTCAGCATGGAGTTTTCCATCAGTCTCTCTTGGCCATGGTCCTTCGGTCAGTTACAGATCCCTTGGTATTAGCCCCCATTCCTTCATCCTGTTCGCAGAATTTTTTTTTTCTTTTTTGTGAAAGAGTTTGCAAAACTTCCTGCTGAAAGCAAAAGCTGCTCAGCCTGTAGCATCCTTTTTCTGAGTTACAAGGCTATGTAATTGAAACAAGATGAATTTGTTTTGATTCTTGAATCCATGAGTTGGAGAATCCATTTAAACGAAGGTACAAAAGAAGAAATCCTACACAGATTTCACCTGACATCCACATAAAAGTGGATTCTAAAGTTTAACTGAAAAATACAAAAATGCAAAAATACCTTATACAGATGTTATATTTACCCATATAAGTAACCAGATAAGACTGCATGCAAAGTGTGAAGTTGAGGCTATCTAGGAGATAAGCAACATGAACAGGGAGGATTGAGGCATGAAAGCCGTATCCACCTTCTGTGTAAAATTGCAAGTGTCTGAGGGGGAGTACCACCTGCATGTGGTAACATAGAAACACAATTTCCATTGCAAACCATGAACCAGTTCCTAAGGAGGGCATGCATTTTAATGAAATACTATGCATATTTTGGTGTCTTGGAACTATATATGCATTTTGCCACTTATTTCTATTTGAGATGGGCCAGTGGAGGCCAGAGGGAGCTTTGGCTCTGCAGAAAGCACCCTGATGATCCTGATTTGGTGATCAGGAGACAGTCAGGCTGAGCTGGGCATCTGATTATGGCCTGCCTAGGAGATGGAGTTGGTTTCTCCTATAAAATCAAGTCAACAGCCTGATGTAGTATTGGCTTATACCCTGATGAGTTCTTAAAATGATGTAAGGCCAATTTCTTGGTATCTGTAAATCCCAAGAATGGGGAATTTTAAAAACAAGAAAAGGAAGAATGAGAAAGGAATTTTTCAGCATATTGCCTAATTCAGAGTGAACTTCCAGCTTTCCAAGAGTTGTTTCCTCACCTCCATTTTAGCGGAGGTCACCAGCTTATGCCCTGCCTCCTTGTCTGTCTGCCTGTGGGGCCACACATGAGTGTCGACAGTTCTGCCCTCTGCAGGTGCTTTTGTGACACCAGGCCCTGTGAGAAGTGTCTCCTTCCTGGTTTTTTCTTCTGAAATAGCCTAATCTGAAAGAAAATCTCCTTTGCTGTTTGACATGGCGTGAATGATGGCACCTGGAAACCTTTTAAATCCGGGAAGATAAATATGTTTCATTGGAGCCATCTTTCCAAATGCAGACAACCTCACATATTTCATATGAGATGCCTCAGGATCCTAAAAAAAGATTCATGCTTGAATACACAGTTCTTCTTTAGTTTTGTGCATTTTGGGTTCCTGGATGAGGTTATTTTGGTGTCATTGACCATGGCAGTTGACCACATTCAGCTTTGAGTTTCTAGGTTGCAGGTTTCACAGTCCATGCCTTTTGGGTGGTACCAAAAAAAATTTTTTTAATACGCAAGTATTTTCCACATCTTTCCTTAAACATCACTTCATCAGAAACTGCTTCCCACCACCCCTGCCCTGTAGGTTCGCTGCAACATTTTCCTACTTGATATTATGTAATTTGTTGTTTGACTCTGTTTCCTGAGCCTTCTGTGATGGGTCCAGGCAGAGCCTGTCTTGCACACACCTTTGTCTCCAGCACCTGACCACAGCAGGCACTTCATGAACATCCAACCCCTGACGGCCTGATATTTTGTTTCACAGGAACAGACAATCTACAGATGAATGTCACCCGGACTCCAGAGTCATTTCCTCCTGGGAAATTGTTACCAGTTTCACCAACATGGCCTTTCACAGAAGTCAAGTCTTCCTCAGCAGCAGACAGAAGCAAGACCGTGCTAGGACAGTCCTCTGACAACACAAGCTTGCCACAGTCAGCCCGAACCCCTGCGTCCAAGACACACCACAGAACTAGGGCTCACGTGGACTTCTCTTCTTCCCTTTACCAAGGAAGCGGACATAGCTCCTCCCTCGAACCTTCCAAGGATTCTACCGAGTCCCTGGTCCAACCGGGGCCTAAAGGGGGACAAGAAGCAGCCGATGTGTCAGGTTTGCCTCTCACCAGCATGCTCCCCTCGTTGTCCACAGTCCCGTCAGGGACGTCCTTCAGTGCTGTCCCCCCATCCCAGCCAGTATGGGCATTGGCTCCCTCCATTTCAAAGCATCCCCCAAGGTCAGACATTCCCCCACTCCTCCCTCCACTTCCATCCTCTTCATTGGCTCCTGACTCACCTCATTCCATCATCTCTGAACCAGCAGAGCAGCCTCCCAAAGTGCCGTTAGTTCCCCAAACGCCTCCAGCCGACCCCCCTTCAGGTCAGAACATAGCTAATCCCCTAATCCCATTTTCTGATGAAATGGACCACACTGTATCCCAAAATGCTCAGGATCTCATAGGCATCCCTCATCTAGGTGTTTCTGGATCCTCAACAAAGTGGCATTCCGAGCTGTCCCCAACAGAGGGTCCCCATTCAGCAGGCTCATCCACACCTGGGTTTTTGAGCCCCATGGCAGAACTGTCCCATCCGTCTCCCCCTCCCCCAGCACTTGGAAGTCTTCCTCAGCTTCCAGATGGAAGCCCCACATGGTCAGTGTTGGAAGTGGCTTCAGATCCTGCATCCACCCAGCAGACCAAAGCTGGGATGGCTGGAAGAGTGCACAGTGGGGTGCCTTTGCCAACTTTTAAGAATACAGACACAGCGACCCATGAGGCTGAGCCTCCACTTTTCCAGACTGCAGAATCAGGGGCCGTAGAAATGAACAGCAGAAAGCTAGCCCCTGACACTGCAAACGACTCTGCTAACCCGCTGCATTTGTCAGCAGCTCCAGAGAATTCCAGAGGGCCCGCCCTTTCGGCAGAACACACCTCTTCTTCTTTGGTGCCTTCTCCTCTGCATGTCACTGCACTGGGTCGAGAGCAAGCCATCCGTTCTGAGGCGGTTCCCACATCACCATCAACTGGGACAATCGACTTTCCCTCCGTACTTACTTTCCTCCAGACCACAGAGAATCATGCCTCCCCATCTCCCGTGCTAGAAATGCCCACTCTTCCAGCAGAGGGCAGTCATGGGTCCCCTCCTGCACCTAGAGACTTGCTCCTCTCAGGCAGAGTTCCTAGTCTTCTTTCCACATCTTGGACATTTCCCCGGTGGAAAAAGGACAGTGTGACAGCCATTTTAAGGAAAAATGAGGAGGCAAATGTGACGATTCCTCTCCAGGCCTTTCCAAGGAAAGAGGTTTTGAGTCTTCACACTGTAAATGGATTTGTCTCTGATTTCAGCACCCATCACGTCTCATCTCCCATTGTTACAGCACCAAGGACAAATCCCCTTCCTTCCGGATCACCTCTACCTTCCATACTCTCCATACAAGCCACCCAGACTGTTTTCCCATCTCTTGGCTTTTCCAACACCAAGCCAGAGGCTTCTGCAGCTGCTGTGGACCATTCTGGGTTGCCAGCTTCAGCTTCCAAACAGGTGAGAGCATCGCCCTCCTCCATGGATGTATATGATTCCTCAACAATAGGAGACATGAAAAAACCAGCAACCACAGATGTTTTCTGGAGTTCTCTTTCAGCAGAAACTGGATCCCTTTCCACAGAATCAATAATATCTGGCTTGCAGCAGCAAACAAATTATGATTTAAATGGACACACAATTAGCACCACAAGTTGGGAAACTCATTTAGCTCCAACGGCTCCAACGGCTCCTCCCAGTGGTTTAACTTCAGCTGCCAATGCCATAAAATCTCAGGATTTCAAAGACACTGCTGCTGGGCATTCAGTGACTGCAGAAGGGTTTAGCATTCAGGATCTAGTCCTCAGTACAAGCACTGAGCAGCCTGTGCAACAGTCAGACATGACCGTGGTTGGAAGCCATGTAGACCTCTGGCCCACGAGCAATAACAACCATTCCATAGACTTCCAAACAGCTGAAGTTGCGTATTACTCACCCACAACTCAACATTCTGTGTCTCAACTACAGTTGCCCGACCAGCCAGCACATCCTCTTTTGCTAACCTCGTCAAGACCAACTTCTACAGGTAGCTTGCAGGAAATGCTTTCAGATGGAACAGATACAGGTTCTGAAATTTCCAGGGACCTCAATTCATCACCTGAGAGAAATGCTTCCACACCATTCCAGAACATCTTGAGCTATCACTCTGCTGCTGAATCTTCTATTTCGACCAGTGTCTTTCCCAGGACTTCCTCCAGAGTGCTGCGGGCCTCTCAGCACCCCAAGAAATGGACAGGTGCAGCCACTAATGCAGGTAGTTTGTTTCCCAGTACCCCCAAAACAGGCATGACTGCTTTTGTGGTCAAAGCATCTTCAAGCTCAACGCAGATACCAGCCGTGCTCTGAAGGAGCTCGTACCCCCTATCAGGAGTGAGTTAGCAGCCCCAAGTAGTCACCTCATTGGTCCCGTGCCCACCTGAGCTTTCGAAACTATTCACAATGTAAGCATTCTTGCTGTCAACCATAGCTGTGCTGTAAGCGGCATTCTTGTTATGGTTAATCAACTTAATGAGCCTAGAGTTGTTTTGGCTAAGTTCTGTCCACTGCAAGCCCAGATTACAGAGACTTCACCCTAGCAAATCCATAAGTTACATCCATTCATCATCAGAACAAGTGACACGTGCATTCCTAGCCAATGACAAACTTTGTTTTTTCTCTCTTTACAGTGGACACAGTGTCATCTAAGGTAGAGCCAACAGCAGCAGCTGCCGTCACATTGTTTCTGAGGAAATCAAGTCCACCTGCATTGTCTGCAGCCCTGGTGGCTAAGGGCACCAGCAGCAGCCCTTTGGCCGTGGCCTCAGGACCAGCTAAGAGCAGTTCAGTGACTACTCTGGCTAAAAATGGCACAAACAAGGCTGCATCTGGCCCAAAGAGGACACCAGGGGCAGTCCATACAGCCTTCCCGTTCACGCCAACCTACATGTATGCAAGAACAGGACATACCACAAGCACACATACAGCCATGCAAGGAAACATGGGCACTGCCTCTGGCCTGTTGTCTACAACTTACCTCCCCAGGAAACCACAAGCCATGCACACTGGCCTCCCAAACCCCACCAACCCGGAGATGCCCAGAGCATCCACGCCACGCCCACTGACAGTCACGGCGGCACTGACATCCATTACAGCCTCGGTGAAGGCCACCCGGTTGCCACCGTTGCGAGCAGAAAACACGGATGCTGCCCTTCCTGCCGCATCGGCTGCAGTGGTCACTTCTGGCAAAATGGCATCCAACCTGGAGTGTCAGATGTCCAGCAAGCTCCTGGTGAAGACAGGTATGAGACCACTGTTCTGATCTGAAAGCAGCAAGCCTGGCCTCAGAGATGTAACAATAATGTTTGTTTTAGATCTGTGGTCCTCAACCAGGGGAGATTTTTCACCCTCCCCCAGGGACATTTGGCTATGTCTCGAGACATTTTTGGTTGTTATACTTGGTGGCTGGAGGTACTACTAAAATCTGGTGGGATAGAGACTAGGGATACTGCTCAACATCTTACAATGCACAGAACAGCCCCAACCACAAAAATTAATCCAGCCTAAAACATCCATAGGGCCAAGGCTGCGAAACCATGAGATTTAGCAAGTGTTAGAGGAGAGAGAGCCTGATGCAGCATGGGTCTGGTCCTAGGATCAGTCCTGATATCAGAAGCCCCCAGAAACCACAGTTCTGCCAGTGGGTCTAAGAATGCAAAGGTACTGTTTTGCATCAATGATGTCTTACATGAATGAATGATGTGGCTCGTAAAATATAACATCTTGGGAAGTGCTACAGAGTTCAGAAAGGCTTTTGTCTTGCATTTTTTCAATTAGCTGATAGCAAAAGTACAACTTCTGCACACTGTGTGGGAGCCCAGGATTTCTTTTGATGTTAGAAAGAAGATTTTCTTGAAAAAGTGGGATGGGCAGCACCAGAATTGTGAGCAAGGATGGGATGCTATCTTTCAAGCCCCCACTCCCCAGCTGTAGCAAAGCAGGCCTAGAATGCATGGAGAGCTTTTCATAGTGTGGCAATGTTTGCTAGAAAAAACATTAGACAAATTATTTGGAAGAGCACGCCAGTGTTGAATGCTCACATCCTGCCTTCCTCCTCACCCCACAAAGAATTAAATGAAATTATATCTTGAGACATATCCTATTCTAAAATGGGAAATTGTGAAATTAGGCATAGCAAAAAGTACAGTATCTCTTTCTGTTTCTCAAGAAATTATACCATCTGGGTTTCCACTCTCTGTCCCCGCTCCATTCCACTCTCCTCTGGGTGGCAGGCAGCCCTGGCCGCTCAGAGGCAGGAGTTGGAAACATTGTCTTCTCTGTCTTCTTCCCAGCCCCCCACCAACCCAGCTACATCTAATCAATCACCAGTTCCTTTCACTTCTACCTCCTGGATACCCCTTCTCTCCATCCTCATTCACACTGCCACTTCCCTAGTTCACACTGTCATCATCACTCACCTAAATTTCTGCCACAACAGCCACATTTATCTCTCTGCCTTCAGAGTCCCCCCTCTTCAATCTGTTCTCCAGTCTGCAGTCGAGAACCTTCTAAAATGCATTCCTTTGCTTAAAACTCATTTCTCATTGCCCTTAGGACCAAGCTTAAACATATATTTACAGTCATCCCCTCTTATCTGCAGGGGATCTATTCCAAGACCCCCAGTGGATGCCTGAAACTGCAGGTAGTACCAATCCCTATATCAACTATGAATTTTTCTATTCATACATACCTATGATAAAGCTTAATTTATAAGTTAGGTGCAGTAAAGGTCAACAACAACTAGTAATAAAACAGAACAAGGGTAACAATAGACTGTAACAAGAGTGATGTGAATGTGGTCTTTTTCTCCCTTTCTTTGACTGTCTCTCTCAAAATACCATACTCACCTGTTTTCAGACTGTGGTTGACTCCAGTACATAAAACCATGGAAAGCAACACTGGGGCTAAGAGGGAACTACTGTACACTGAAATATTTTGCTTCTTTCGCCTGTGCCTTTGTGCTTGGTACTCCCTCTGCTGAGAGGGGGTGAGGGGAATCTCTTCCCCCTTGTCAAACTTCACTCTGGTGATCCTTCAGAACTTAGCTGAAGCATCAGTTCCAATGGAAATTTTCCCTGATCCCCATCCCTTTACCAAACTCAGGGCTGGGTGCTCCTAGGAGCTCTGGCAGCATCCTAGGCTTCCCTTCAAACAACACCTGTCACATTCGATCCCAAATGCCTATTCTCTGTCCTGTGTCTCCATCCCACTTGTGAGACGGGGATGGCACCTTCCTAATCCAAGGTTGTTTGAGGCTGCAGCACTGAGCTCAGGGCCTGCACCTAAGGAGGCTGTCCGTGAATGTTGTTGCAGGAATTTCATCGCATACACTGTCGAGCCGGCTTTCAAAGTCAGAGGCAGCATCTGTCAGAAATGAAATGCCACCAGCATACCAGCTCTCTCTCTACTTGGGTCACACAAATGGCTAGGGCCTTCTTTCCTTAGGACTTTAGTAGGACCCAAAGAGCTACCAGCCCAGCCCACCCCGTCACTGATGGCCCTGTGCTTACCATCTCTGCCCAGAACTTGCAGAAGGTGGTGGCTGGGAGGAGCGGAGGGCAAGTGAATGATGAGGCTTGCCGCCTTGCCTGATTGCCATGCTTCCATTTTGCTCCACAGTTCTCTTTCTCACCCAAAGGAGAACGCAGATCAGTGAATCCTTGAAGTTCAGTATCGCCAAAGGGCTCACACAGGCATTGCGGAAGGCTTTCCACCAGAACGATGTCTCAGCTCACGTAAGTGCTTTGCTTTGTAACCAAGCTAATCCATCACAGTCTGGCTCTTGGGTCTAGAATATGTTGAGATTGTTTTCCTCCTTTCTAGACATCATAACAACACTGGCCAGAAGTAGAATCTGTCTTCACTTTGACAACTAGCTAATGTGTAGTGGCTCAAGAAAAAGGTCTAATTTTGAGATGGAAAATGGAGACTAATTGCTTTATGTCTAGATTTCTTTTTAAAGATTGGATATATTGGCCAGGCATGTGGCTCACATCTATAATCCTAACACTTTGGAAGGCCGAGGTGGGTGATCACTTGAGGTCAGGAGTTCGAGACCAGCCTGGCAACATGGTGAAACCCCGTCTCTACTAAAAATACAAAAATTAGCTGGGCGTGGTGGTGGGTGCCTCCTAGCTACTTGGAGGCTGAGGCAGGAGAATCGCTTGAATCCGGGAGGTGGAGGTTGCAGTGAGCTGAGATCGTGCCACTGCACTCCAGCCTGGCTGACAGAGTGAGTCTCTGCCTCAAAAGCAAACAAACAAACAAGCCTGTATATATTGTTTTAAACCATCCCATTATCCCATCGTTTGGGGAAAGTATTTACATTGTTCGTGTAATTCTCTAGAAAACTCTCCATTGCTTTTCCCCTTATTTTTGTCACTATCATAAAGAGTGATTTATTTCTGGACATTCAAAAATTACCCTGACCTGTAAATCGAGTCTGTCTTTGCTTAAATTGCCCACTGCAGACAGGGAAGTAAACATTTTTTCTTTTAATGCCAAGTACTGTTTAATGAGTGCTGGCTGATTTTGACGGCTTATCTAAGAGATGGAAGCTTCACTTTACATCTTTGGGTTTGATTCCAAGTTTTCAAACAGTAAATGCAGTTGGCAGTCAGTAGACTCCCGTTTGCACCACTAAAAACTATTGCTCTGGCTTCTTTTTTTGATGTTCTGTCCTACAGCTGCAGTCAGCTTACCGACCCCCTTCCCTCCCATCAACACCGAGGACTAGAAAGGAGATTTGGCACATACTTTATTGGTCATTGTCGATCTCTTTTATATATTTCTAAAAAAGAAAAAAAAAAAGAAAGAAATGCATTCTATGAGAGGCTCTTATGATTTCTGCACCAGAAACTTTATGGGAAGTTGAAAAGGTGAATATTTCCATTTAGTTGCCTGATACAATTTTCACTAATCTTCAGTCATTCTCAAACTACTTTTATAGTTTTGGTCTATTGCTATATATCATCACAGACCAGTGTGACCATGAGTATTCGTTATTTTTTTTTCTCTTTTTTTTTATTGGCTTTCTTTTAAAAACTTAAGTAGAAAAGGCATTTGATATTACACCATAAATGGAAATCAAGATCATTTGCCACAAATAAAAGGTAATGGTAAGAATGAGAATAGTGGAAAACCAAACAGCTTGTTAAATTCAAGCTAGAGGTTGTTGCTTGCAGAAAGCTCTAAGGCTGAGTCTGGTATCCCTTTGTTTGTTTGTTTATTTAAAAAAGGAATTAGCAAGGGTTAGAGAAATGTTAAAAGCAAATATTCACTAAACTGAGACTTATTCCTTGGGATCATTGGAAGGGTTGAAAGGGAACAACTTTCTCACTGAGTGGTTTAGTTGATTTAGTGTCGTCTTGTGCCGTGTCCACGTTCCATGCTGAAATACCTCTTGTTCCACCTAAAATCATCTTGAGCACCATCTTCAGGAAAAACTGAGGGGGAGCACACAATGTGGAGGAAGGAAAGGCACACCCATCCTGTTGCAAAATCAGTTGTCTTGCTTCCTTTGGAAAATACACACGGAGATGCAAGAAGATGGGGAGACAGCAGGTGTCAAAAACTTACTGGCCGGGCACAGTGGTTCATGCCTATAGTCCCAACAGTTTAGGAGGCCGAGGTGGGAGGGTCACTTGAGGCCAGCAGTTTGAGATCAGTGTGGGCAATGTAGTGAGACCTCCATCTCTACAAAACATATATAAATTAGCCAGGTATGGTGGCACACACCTATAGTCCTAGCTACTCGAGAGGCTGAGGTGGGAGAATTGCTTGAGCCCAGGAGGTCAAGGCTGCAGTGAGCTGTGATCACACCACTGTACTCCAGTCTGGGTGACAGAACAAGACCCTGTCCAAAAAAAAAAAAAAAAACCAAACACTCACAAAACGAAACCCTGAGTTCCAGTTTTACAAGATGAAAAGAGTTCTGGAAATGGATGGTAGTGATAGCTGTACACCCATTATGATTGTGTTTAATAGCACTGAACAGCACACTAAAAAGTGGTTAAGATGGTAGATTGTATATTGTGTGTATTTTACCACAATAAAAACTTAGAAAAAAAGGAGCTACATACATATATGTATGTGTTTATATATGTTACTCTTTTCTCTGTTTTTCAAATACACAAATTCTATAATAAACATTACATTTAATATATAAAAACCAAAAGAAATTTTTAAAAAACCTGAACCGTAAATATGTAACATCAAGAAAGGAAAAATAAGAATAAAATCTAAAGCCTCAAAATCCTACAGTTGAGACAGAAAGAGCTCAGACCATCAGTGTCCCCTAGGATTCAGCTGTCAGAGAAATTCTCTGTGGTGCATCCCCGCCTTGGTCTTGAACCAATTTACACGCCAAGGACAGAGTCTGAACGAGTCTTCTCTCTGCTTCTAGAAAGAGGAATTCACTTTACTTACTTCTTGACCTGTGCCCCAAAGGTGCCCCCACTTAATCTATCATTTCTACCTTTTAATTCTCATAAATGATGAGAAATACAAAAAGTGATTTTCCCCAGCATTTCATTCACTGAAAATCTCTTTGAACTACTTTCTCCTCTCTACCTTTTTGGTAATAATAATGGATGGTCACAGGATTATACTGAGGCACTTAAAGAATAAAGAAGATACAGATTCAATTCTATTCCATGAAGATTTGATGTAAATTATATTTTGTTGTTGTTGTGATATTTTGAGACTTGCCAGTCCAAATTATGCTTTATAGGATTGTTAAGAATATTTGTTGAATGAGAACGTTCTATTCTCCAGTCTTGTTTCTAGCAGCCGTGGTTCTAAGAAATACCCAGAAGAACTTAAAGTACTGTGGAAATAAACAATGGGTTTTGTGGGTCCATTTGTTTTGTAGGTGGACATTCTGGAATATTCTCATAATGTCACAGTTGGTTATTATGCTACCAAAGGGAGGTTGGTGTATTTGCCTGCTGTGGTGATGGAAATGCTGGGTGTGTATGGAGTCAGCAACGTCACTGCAGACCTGAAGCAACACACCCCAAACTTACAGTCTGTGGCAGTACTTGCCTCCCCATGGAATCCCCAGCCTGCAGGCTACTTCCAGCTAAAAACAGGCAAGTGACTCGGAAGGAAAGGATTTTATCCATTCTTGGGTTCAGGGCAGTACCAAGTGGACACCTGTTTAAAAACTCCATCGCTAGCTGCTGTGTCGTTTTTTAAAGTCCCTGTGAATCTTCTTCAAGGGGCCCTGCTCATCAAATGTCCAAGTTCCTTGCACATGAGCCTAAACTCTTTCAACCCTAGATTTGCTAGAAATGTTCTATCATAGGAACCTTCCTTCCCAATTTACGTACTTAGTACTTTTGAGCACCAGGTACTATATTTTATATTTCTTTCTATATTATCAGTAGATACTAATAATAGTGGAACGTGCAAAAAAAAAAAAATCTATAGTTTGGAGCAATGGGTTCCAGATGCCACTGAATGAGAATCTCTGAGTTTAGGTCTTAGAATATATTTTTTTCAAACTCTCTGGTGATTTCTGGTCTGCAAAGTTTGTAACCTACAGGAGTGGAGAAACTCTTAAAATCAAAATACTCAATCAACTTAGCAATGGAGGTCAATTGATTTTCTTCCCTCCGAAGAAACAGAAGGCACGATCTCTCTTAGATTATGATTTGTCAGTCTTTGAGCAGATGTCTGCATATTCCAATCAGATAAAATCATAAAATCTTTTGCAATGGAGGGAATCTCTGGTTTGATCGTGCTTTTAATTCTTCTGTGTTATAAATCATCTTAAGAGCCACTTTCAAAACTACAATCAAACCTTGTCTGGCCTTCTTATTTATTTGCCTAATTCCTCTCATCTGAAATCATGCTGTTTTGTATAATGACCACCGTTAAATCCAAGGAACTGAGGCATGGAGCTTTGGTGAACACTGATTGACTACTCTCATTCTAGTGCTGCAGTTTGTGAGCCAAGCGGACAACATACAGTCCTGCAAGTTTGCTCAGACAATGGAACAGAGGCTGCAGAAAGCATTCCAGGATGCCGAGAGGAAAGTCCTGAATACCAAAAGCAACTTGACAATTCAGGTAGGGAGGAGGGTGCTTCAGGCTGTGTAGTTGACGGACAACCACAATGCAGATTCTGGCAAGAAATGACTTGGGTCTTCCCTTTCAGAGCTGCCATGTATAAATGTTACTTTGCACTTCAGACATTGGTGAGGATGTCTGGGATCTGGCCATGACAGGAGGGATGCTGTGTCACTGTGCGCCTATTGTGGTTTGGGTTTTATATTTCTTTCCCCATGGGATGCTTTCTCAGGCCTTTCTAATACGTTTATTATTTTGAAAAGTTGAATTAGTCTGTACTGTATATGTCAAATGTCTAATATAAAATGAATAAATGAATCAATTCTAAGTAGCTAAGTCACCAAGATTTGCCCATTCTGTGATTTTAGGCATTGGCTTATATTCCAGTCACCTTTGTTTAGACACATGCCAACACACATACACACAGACATACATACACACACACATGCCCACTCACACACATACACATGCATTTTATATTGAAGTCTTTACTATGTGCCAGGAACTGTGCTAAGTGTTTTACAAATATTTTGCTACATAATACTTAAGACATCTTTCGGAGATATTCTTACTCCCATTTCACAGAGAACTGAGAGCCTAAGAAAATTCCAGAAAGTCACACAGTTAGTAAAGAATGGAAGAAGGACTTCAGTCAAAAGCCAGTGTTCTTATCCACTACGCTATACTCACATCGATGCAATGTAGAAGTGGGGTCCTTAATGAAGCCTGTGTCAAACAACGGAATTCTTTCCCAGGAAAAATCCCTGGGAAATGAATCATGGCGTGAGTGAGGAGGAAGTAAGAGATGAGGTTAGAAGCTACAGGTTCTAAGAGTTAAAGGGTGATGGGAAAGTGTCCCCTGTAGGGGCTGCTTTTATTGGGGGACAGGATTTTAGATGCTCTTGGACATTTAAACAGCCCTTTAAAAATTTTTTTAGTTATTTGTAGAGATGGGGTCTCCATATATTGCCTAAGTCGATCTCAAACTCCTAGGCTCAAGTGATTCTCCCTTGGCGGCCTCCCAAAGTGCTGGGATTACAGGCATGAACCATCACACCTGGGTCACTGCATCTCAGCTTTTTGGATTAACAATGTACACATCACCAAAAGCCTTTTTCAGACCTTTTTTTTTTTTTTTTTTTTTTTTCAATTACATAGATATCCCACTAAGGACAGATGCTTCTTAATGATATTCATCTAGCCCCCAATTAACTCTTCTTTTCAATGTCTCTGTTTTGACTACTGAACTAAAGCCTTTGCAATTAGACCCAGTGGTTTTAAAATGGACATTTAGCATAAGTGAATTATCGGCAAAGCCAATATGATGTAGAAAGCCTACAGTTTAACTTGAGTGAGTGAGCAGCTTTCCTGTTCTAGATTCATCCAAAGTGTAGATGGAAGCATCTCATTATGATTTGGTTCATGTTAGATGAAGATCTAAAAATGTGTCACAGACTGAAGATTTATGTAAGGAGTGTGACTCAGCTCTCTTGTGGCAACTCTTTTTCTTTCTGATTGGATTTGTGATCCTCACAGGTGCATGAGCCTAGTTAGATCTTGGCAGCACAGCATACTTTAATTGTATTCAGGAAGCACAGACTTATTGAGTGCCTGCTATTTATCAGGCACTGGGAAGGACACCAAGATAAGCTGCCCTTGGCCTTAAGAAGCGTCCTTGTGGTGTTGTATGGTAGTTATGGGCCATTAGAGGAAACTTTATAGATCAAGTAACAAACCTTCCTTGGAAAAAACTATAGGAGGTGGTTTGAAGATTACATCTAAATAGATTTTAAATGCTCTTGAACATTTAAACAGCTCTTGAAATGAATGGATAATTGGATGAACTGTTTTTGTTAACCCTGTTTCCATTTTTGCCTTGGCTGACAGGAAGCCCAGAGCCAAATTTGTTGCCTGGATTTAGTAACTCTCAGGGCCCCTGTATTACACATGGTAACTGCATGCTAATGTTCCCTTGGGGCTGTCTTTCACCAGGGCCTGGTTTTATAATTAATAACTTTTCCTTTTATATTGTATAATATATAATTTGTAAGGCACCTTGAATCCTTTGTGGAATAAGACCATGTAAATATTTAATTAATTTGCTCAGAGAGTCATTGAAAAACCGACTTAAAAACTTGTATAAGTTTGGTATTAGGGACTAGATTACAGTGGACTCAATTAGGATGTTTTTGGTTGCCAGGGACAGAATCTAAGCTGATGAAGCTTAAGCAAAAAGGAAGTGATTGGCTCATGTAACTGAAAGGTTCATATTTATTTATTCAGACATAATTGTATCCAGGTGATTAGATGATGTCTTCATCAAGCTCTCTCTTCGTTTCTTGGTTGGCTTTGCTCTACACTGGCATTGTCTGTGGCTGCCATGGGGTGGCCCCTCACAAGCCCAGATTTGTCTCATCCTTGTTGCTCACAGTCTTGTAGGACCAAAGTGCCTTTCCTGCTGTCATTCCAGTAAAATTCCTGGGATTAGCTCTCATTGAACCTACTATGCCCTTTGTGGATCACTAACTGGCCAAGGAAATTAAATGTCCCAATGAAGTAGGCCTGACTGCTCCTGAAACCTGGGTGGGGCAGCCCCATCCAGAACACATGAGCAAAGAGGAGAAGTGGTTCCCCGAGGAAAATTGTGATGCTATGAAGAAGGGAGGATAGATGCTGGGTAGGCAAACAACAGCTTTCTGTTCCATCAGCCTATAGTTCTTCTTAGCCAAATGAATCATGGCATGAGTGAGGGGTAAGTAAGAGATGAGGTTAGAGGCTGCAGGAGTCTAAGAGTTCAAGGGTGACAGGAAAGTGTTCCCTGTAGGAACCGCTTCTATTGGGGGACAGGGCATGAATTTCAGGGACCAGTGCCCTGACCTTGAACCTGTAGGCCTCTTATTTTTGGAGCTATTCTCAAGTATGCGTCAAGAATGACCTCACTTTTCTTACCTGTAAAAAATGAGTATATTAAAGAAAACAAACAAATGGAAAGACTTCCTGTGCTTATGGATTGGGAGATTTTATTTTATTTATTTATTTTTTTGAGACGGAGTCTCGCTCTGTTGCCCAGGCTGGAGTGCAGTGGTGCGATCTCGGCTCACTGCATGCTCCGCCTCCCAGGTTCATGCCATTCTCCTGCCTCAGCCTACCGAGTAGCTGGGACTATAGGCGCCCGCCACCACGCCTGGCTAATTTTTTTTGTATTTTTTTAATAGAGATGGGGTTTCACCGTGCTAGCCAGGATGGTCTCAATCTCCTGACCTCATGATCCACCCGCCTCGGCCTCTCAAAGTGCTGGGATTACAGGTGTGAGCCACCACACCTGGCTGGATTGGGAGATTTTATATTGTTTGTCACTACTCAAAGGGATCTGAAGATTTAATGTAATTCCTATCAAAATAGAAAAATTAACCCCAAAATTCCCATGGAATCTCAAGGGGCTGTGAGTAGCCAAAGCAATCTTGAAAAGGAAGAACTAGGTTGGAGGTCCCACACTTCCTGATTTCAAAACTTACTACGAAGCTATGGTAATCAAAACAATGTGGTGCTGGCATAAAGGCAGACATTTAGACAAATGGAATAGAAGAGAGAGCCCAGAAATAACCCCTCTTGTATATGGTCAGATATTTTTTGACAAAGGTGCCAAGGCTATTTGATGGGGAAAGGACAGTCTTTTTAACACATTAGGAAAACTGAATATTCACATGTGATCCCAAAAGAATGAAGTTGGATCCTTACTTAACACCATCTACCAAAAATAACTCCAAATGGATCAAAGATCTAAATGTAAGATCTAAAACTATAGGACTTTTGTAGGAAAACAGAGGGGAAAAACTTCGTGACACACAGTATTTGGCAATGACTTGTTGGACATGACACAGGCAAACAAAAGAAAAAGGCAAATTAGACTTCATCAAAATTAAAAACTTCTGTGCATCAAAAAACACTACCAGCAGAGTGAAAAAGCAACTCATAGAATAAATGAAAAATATTTGCAAATCATATATCTGGTAAGCAGTTAATACTCAGAATATGTAGAGAATCCCTACAACTCAATAATAAAAACAAACAAACAAACAAAAAAAACAAGGAGTGAGCAAAGGACTTGAATAGACATTTCTCCAAAAAAGATATACAGATGACTTAAGCACATGACAAGATGCTCTACATCACTAATCATTAAAGAAATGCAAATCGAAACCATGAGATACCTATTCGCATCTATTAGAATGGCTATTCTCAAAAAATAGAAAGTCCTTAGTGTTGGCGATGATGTGGAGAAATTGGAACCCTAATGCATTGCTAGTGGGAATGTCGAATAGTGCATTCCCTGTGGAAGGCAGCATGGTGGTTTCTTAAATAACTAAACTTAGAATTACCATATGGTTCAGCACTTCCATTTCTCAGTATATACAAAAAAGAATTAAAAGTAGGGACTCAAACAGGTATTTATACACTCATGTTCATAGTAGCGTTATTCACAACAGCCAAAATGTGGAAGCAACTCATGTATCCATTAATGAATGAGTGGATAATCAAATGGCATATATACATACAATGGAATATTATTCAGCCTTTAAAAATGAAGGAAATAATGGATGATTGGAATGCAGAAAAATTTTAAAAAGGAAGGAAATTCTGATGCATGCTACAACATGGATGAACCTTGAGGACATTTTGCTAAGTGAAATAAGCCAACCACAAAAGGACAAATACTGTATGATTTCTCTTATAAAAGGTATCTAGAATTGTCAAATTAATAAGTGATTCCACTTATAAGAGGTATCTAGAAAGTAGAGTGGTGGCTGCCAGGGGCTGTGAGGAGGGAGAAATTAGGAGTTGTTTAGTGGGTATAGAGTTTCTGTTTGGGATGATAAAGAGGTTCTAAAGATGGATGGTGGTGATGTACAACAGTGTGAATACACTTAATGCCACTGAACTATACGCTTAAAATGGTTAAATTTTATATGTGCATTTTACCGCAATAAAAAAATAATTAAAACTTAACCAGTCAAGTGTAGTATATGCGGAGGCACCCACATTGCAAACTTTGTAGGTTTCCTCGGGCTCCAGTAGGATTTGGGTTTTCCTTTCATTTTGTTTTAGAGGCAGGGTCTGACTTTGTCTCCCAGACTGGGGTGCAGTGGCACAATCATGGCTCACTGCAGCCTCGAACTCCTGGGCTCAGGTGATCCTCCAGCCTCAGCCTCCCAAGCAGCTGGGACTACAGGCATGCAACATCATGCTTGGCAATTTTTTTCTATTGTTTGTAGAGGCAGGGTTTTGCCATGTTGCCCAGGCTGGCCTTGAACTCCTGGGGTCGAGTGATCCATCTGCCTCGGCTTCCCAAAGTGCTGGGATTACTGGCATGAGCCACCACACCCAGCCAGGATTTGGTTTTGTTGAGGTAAAACAGAATGTTCACAATAGAGATAAAGATTGAAAAGGTTGTTTTTTTTTTAGTTATTATTTTTTCAGGTGGCCGTATGGTGAAGTTTTTTGAATTGTTCAGAAAGAAGTGCCTTTCTTTTTGGTGCCTTCAGAAAGAATATGCTTAACCACAGGTATTCATGCCTTGGGGAAGAGGCTAAACCACATTCCAAAAATACTTCCAGAGGAGAGAGTCAGAGTTGAACAGACATACTGATTCAGTTTATTGTTAGTCATGGGAATATAGGCTCTGGATTAAACAATTAAAAAGGGACCAGGTGTGGTGGCTCACAATTGTAATCCCAGCACTTTGGGAGGCTGGGGTGGGTGGATCATTTGAGCCCAGGAATTTGAGGCTAACCTGGGCAACAAAGTGAGATCCTATCTCTACGAAAATGAAATAAATTGGCTGGGAGTAGTGGCGTGTGCCTACTGTAGTCCCAGCTATCCAGGAGGCTGAGGTGGGAGGATCGCTTAAGTCTAGGAGTTCAAGGCTTCGGTGAGCTACAGTCAGGTCACTGCACTTCACCCTGAGGGACAGTGTGAGACCCTGTCTCTAAACAGAGAGAGAGAGAGAGAGAGATCTCCCACTCATGGGAAAAAGTGAGAAATAAAATGAAGAGCTCTTCTCAATAGTTTCCTGGGTGATGGATTTCCTGAAAACCCTAACTTGATCATTACACATTCTATGCATGTAAGAAAATATCACATGTACCGCCTACATATAGACAAATATTATGTATCCTTTTTTAAAGCCTGTAAAAAAATTTTTTTAACGGGAAGGTGGCAGAGATGTTAATATCTGAACATCCAAAGGTCTGGTAAAGACAGGGTATTAGTCAGTGTCCTGACAGGAAAGGGAGGCTGCACTCACATACAGGTGGCTTTGTAGAAAGAAGAGTGGGCAGGCTCTGGGGAAACCGCAGGAGCAGTACAGTACCCAAAGCTCTAACCACTGGGACCTGATGGGTGCAGGGTTCGAGGTTCAGCTGCCTCATGAGAGTGAGCTTTGACCCCCAAGGAGGGAGTCCTCGGCATCAATACTTTGACCTCACTCTCCTCCCTCCCTCCCATATCCTCCCAAAGGCAGTGGAGCCCATGGGGGTTGTCCACAAGGATCTGCCTCCAGGGGCACCAGACAGGGCAGAGAGGGTGGGTGGCAGGAGGATCTGGAGGGAGAAGGGAAGGCACCCAGCACAGAAAAAGGCCCCACCAAGTTGAATGACTTCCCACTAACGATATTTTTCAAATCTCATCTGTGGGATATTTTTGTTCATACATTGACCCAGAAAGCTTCATTTTCCAGCAACTGAAAAACTGGCTTAGACAAAATGTGAAAAGAAAACCATGCCATCTCATAGGATGTTTTACACATTCAATGTTGAATTAATAGACCACAAGGAAATGTAATTGCTCTCTAAAAAGCATATTCTATATTTCTGAATTCCTTTTTTTTTTTTTTTTCTTTTTGGCAGAATCTTGCTCTGTCTCCCAGGCTGGAGTGCAGTGGTGCAATCTCAGCTGACTGCAACCTCTGCCTACTGGGTTCAAGCGATTCTCTTGTCTCAGCCTTCTGAGTAGCTGGGATTACAGGCACACACCCCATGCCCAGCTAATTTTTTTTTTTTTTTTTTTTTTTTTTAGTAGAGACGGGGTATTGCCATGTTGGCCGGGCTGGTCTTGAACACCTGACCTCAGGTGATCCGCCCACTTCGGCCTCCCGAGGTGCTGGGATTACAGGTGTGAACCACTGTGCCTGGCCTCTGAATTCCTTTTCTAATTAGGTTCTGTCACTCTGCCTGTGACCAGACTGGTTTTCAGCTCTGTTCGCTCCTGGTCCTTTCAACTTTCGAATTCCCTGAAAATTTGACTCAGGCTTTCTCTGAGCAGTTGAGCCCTTTTTAAATGTAACATTGCAATGCTCTATTTTATATTTTCAGAATCATAAAAGTAACCTAAGACTATTTAGCCCAGGAAAAGATACACATACCAGTGATTAAGAACCTGGAGTTAAACCACCTGGTTCAAATCCTGACTCCATCCTTTATTAGCCATGTGACCTCGGGTTGGTCCCTTGATCATTCTGGGCCTCGGTTTCCTCATCTGTGAAAGGGGGTCATCACTGGATACATCTCCTAGGGTTGTGGTAAGGATTAAATGAGATGACGTGCCCTTAGCACCCTGCCTGGCATGCAGCAAGCAATCAGAAATGATGACGGTTACTCTTGTCTCTTCCTTGCTGTTTCCCCGACCCCCTTTCATTCCTTCCCTCAACTCCTGCTTAGCCTCCCCCTCCCATGGCCTCCATGAAACACACCGTGGTCTTATTTGGCCTGTCTCCCTCCCCTTTTCTCCTGTGTTGATTCAGATTGTGAGCACGTCCAATGCCTCCCAGGCAGTCACCTTGGTGTACGTCGTGGGCAATCAGAGCACATTCCTCAACGGCACCGTTGCCAGCAGCCTCCTCAGCCAGCTCTCGGCTGAGCTGGTGGGATTCTACCTCACCTATCCGCCGCTCACCATTGCTGAACGTGAGTATGGCCATGCCTACGGGGACCCAAATGTTTCCCCGGGACCTTTCTCCATTTAGCAAACATTTATAATGCCGGGCCGCATATTACCACCTTTATCATAAAGTGACAGCTAAAATATGTGACGGATTAAGGTTGAATTGAGAAAAAGGTTAGTACACATCAAAGAAAGCACTTGCTAGGTTCCTTCGTCCTTTGCATTTCTCTTATCTCATTTAATCCTCAGACCTGCCCTATAAGACAGATGCAAAATTAGCCCCATTTTGCAGAGGCGAAAACTGAGGCTCTAAGAGGTTTCATGAGATACCCGCTCTCACTTAGCTAGTAAGCCACGGGACCTGGGGTTTGAACCCAAGCAGTCTGCCTTCTGAGCTTACAATTCTGCCTGCTAGGGCAACCGATCTCAAAGCAATCTGGGTTGCTATGGTTTTTCTCCCTCTTATGCCATCAGCAAAGGTTCCCAGACCTTGAGGCTCGGCTCTGCCTCCAGATATCATAATGTAACTCATTTGCAGTCCATGGTGTGACTTCAGTTGCTGAGGCCCCTGTAGTCTTGTGGCCTCATCTTTTTCTAATGTTTCAGTTACATAATCCTCATTACCATGCAATAGGCATAGACTTCAGAGATGCAGCAGGCTACATTTTGTATCCAAATGTTTATTTGGTAGCCAAAGGATGGAAAGGTTTATACTCCTAAATTTAAACATTCTTACCTTTCACAAGGTCGCTGGGCAAGTTTATTTTTTAATACATATTAGCACAATTGTCCCATAATTTCTTTCTGGAGTTGTTTTTGATACTGTAAATAGACAAGATAATGTGTATGAATGTACTTAGCACACGGCAGCCACTCAGAATTTTTTTCAAATGTTTGCTTAATGGCAAGCTTTTGTAAAGGTCCACATAATAAGGAAAGATGACTCTGGATTTTAGGGAAAAGATGATGTCATAAAAGGTGGCATTATGTCACATATCAGCATTTTCCATCATCCTTTTATTTCTGAAAACAACTACGATTTATTGAGCACTAACCATATGCAAGGAGGCAGTGTACCAATCCCTTTGCATATATCAACTCCAGTAGGCCCCATACTTGTAAAGAAATATGGGCCTTTTGTTACAAGCATTTGGCTACTAAACTTAAGTCCTTGACATTGGAAAAATCCAAGATAATCATTCCTAACAATGTTGGTGGTGGTCCAATGATTTTTTAAGAGAAAGCCACAGCAAAGACAGGTTCCTGCTGTGGGTCTTGATAAAGAAGGTGTTCTGTTGGAACAGAAGATTTTGATGAAAAAACGGAAAGGGCAGAAACTCACAAATCCTAGAAAACTCTTCATCTACAAGTTGGACCTTTATTGAGTCTTTTGGTTTTCTAAACAGTGAGATAGTTTTGGTTCATATGTCCTGGAATCCCTAAGAATCACAAAGCAGGATTTAGCAGCTTGCTCTTTTGTCATTTATATCTGTTTTCCTTAACGAAATTTCAAATAAGCCAGGTGCCATAACGCGTGCTTATAGTCCAGCTACTCGGGAGGCTTAGGTGCAAGGACCACCTGAGCCCAGGAGTTCAAGAACAGCCTGGGCAACATATCAAGATCCCATCTCAAATATAACTAACTAAATAAAATAAAACAAATCAAACCTATAAAAGTAATTGGGTATGTTTCTTATTTGTTTTAGCACTGGAATATCCCAACCTTGACATATCAGAAACAACCAGAGACTATTGGGTAATCACAGGTAATCTCTTATTTTGTTATTTCCCCTCTTCATGCTCTCAGATTTGTTTATTTTTTTAAAACTGTAGACCATTCATTAATCAGATTGGCACTTTTCTTTGCTCCTGTCTTTTAAGTCAGGGAGTTACTTCTACAGGACCAGAAGTGAATGGGATAAGCTGAGATAAGAAAAGAACATCACACTGAAGATGAATATTAGCTAAAAATTCAAAACAGCTTTCAAGTCCTTACTCAGTGGCCTCCTCTTTGCAAAAAGTGACCCTATCAGAAGTTACAGTGTTAACTGAAGAAGGTCTAGGGCACCAGTTTGTAGTGAATAGTTATCAGTTTATAAATGGAAAGCCTTTTTGGACTGCCCTATAAAACCCAAATTAAAGTTAGAGGAAGGCCGGGCATGCACTTGCCTCTCCACCCTGGCACGACACGCACCCACACCAATCCTGGCATGTCTTGACAGTGAGGGTGTTTGGAAGTAGAAGGGGGTTCTTCTGGCGGCGTTTTCTCTTTTGTTCCTTGACATTTTCCTGTGGATCTTTATGGAACAGCAAAAAAGTTCTTCTTTGTGTTTTTCAAAAGCCAGACAGTAGTTTTGGGGATTGGAGAAACAAGGATTGAGAGCTGAAGAACAGATGTTTGTAGGAGGAAAAGTGGCCAGCCTAGCCAGGAAGGAGAGGAACAGGAGGAGAAGTATATGAGGTGTACTGGCACCGCTATAACCAAGTGCCACAGACTGGGTGGCTTCAACAACAGACATTTATCTGCTCTCAATCCTGGAGACTAGAAGTCTAAAGTCAAGGTGTTACAGGATTGGCTTCTCCGGAGACCTCTCTCCTTGGTTTAGAGATGGTCATCTTCCCCCTGCGTCTTCACATGCCCTTCCCTCTGGGTCTGTCTCTATTCTAATCTCTTTTTATAAGGACAACATCATATTGAATTAGGGCTCCCCAATATGACCTCATTTTAGCTTCATTTCCTCTTTTTTTCTTTTCTTTTTTTTTTCTTTTATTGAGGCAGAGTTTCGTTCTCGTGGCTTAGGCTGGAGTACAATGGTGCGGTCTTGGCTCCCTGCAACCTCCACCTCCCAGGTTCAAGCGATTCTCCTGCCTCAGCCTCCCAAGTAGCTGGGATTACAGGCACACACCACCACACCCGGCTAATTTTTTTTTTGTATTTTTAGTAGAGATGGGGTTTCACCATGTTGGCCAGGCTGGTCTCAAACTCCTGACCTCAGGCGATCTGCCCGCCTTGGCCTCCCAAAGTGCTGGGACTACAGGCGTGAGTCAACACACCCGCCTGACTTCATTACCTCTTTAAAGGATCTATCTCCAAATACAGTCACATTCTGAGGTACTTGGGGTTAGGGCTTCAACAGAGGAATTTGGGGGGACAGACTGGGTGCAGTGGCTCACCCCTGTAATCCCAGAACTTTGGGAGGCTGAGGCGGGTGAATTGCGAGTTCAAAACCAGCCTGACCAACATATCTACTAAAGATACACACCCAAAAATTAGCCCAGTGTGGTGGCGGGTGCCTGTGATCCGAGCTACTTGGGAGGCTGAGTGGCAGGAGAATCACTTGAAACCAGGAGGCAGAGGTTGTAGTGAGTCAAGATAGTGCCACTGCACTCCAGCCTGGGCAACCGAGTGAGACTGTCTCAAAAAAAAAAAAAAGGAATTGGAATTGGGGGAACACATGTCAGCCTGTAACAGGATGGAGGAAGATCCTGCACGTCATGGAAGATGTGCCTGGGTGAGCAACCTGGTCCCAAACCTCCCCTCTGTCCTCTCCCATCCCCTCTCTCACTTGCAGTCCCAAGCAAGCAGCAGATGGACTGCTGCCTGAAATACTAAGGACTCTACACCCCTGCTGGATGAAGCCTGCTCAAGAACCCTTCTAAATTGCAGAACATTGCATTTCTTTCCCCCCGTTGCAGAGCCATCGGTATGTAGAAATCATTTTACCTGCTAAGGAGGCAAGCAAAAAAACCAGCTCACCAGAGTTTGTGCCCAAGAGAGAAAACAGTGCTAACCCAGCAACACATTTTTGGAGCTAGCGGCTTATGTAACATTTACAAAATCATGTTTTCTTTACAAGGAATGATGTTTTTTTAAGGTGGAGATATTCCTCCCTTCTATTAACTTTAATTGATAACGCATTCACCCATCACCACAGGCTGTCCTTGACAACCTCTTGTGTCATCCTTTCTTCATCTACCCGTGTCTTGCCCTGCCTCTATTTTGGTAACATAACCTTAATCAAAATCTCCATTCCAGGTCTTGTTTTCAGGACTCTCCTCAGACTTAGCCCTCTGCCCACTCACTTATGAAACCCTTATTTGTTATTGCTGTTGGTGTTCAGAATAAACAGTGGCTTCCATCACTGTGTTTAGGGCTAGCTGGATCCGTTGGTTAGTGCATGGGAAGGGCTGGAACCAGGTCTCAGAATGATCATCCTGCCTTCCCTTTGACAACTGTGAGCACCTTCTGAACCCCTGGGTAGCCACCAACCAACCTGCCCCATAATTTACCAAAAGGGTAGGGGATGGGGACCTATGAGGCTTTGTTCAGCCCTTACCCCTAGACACGCATCACAGGCTTTCTGTCTTCTGCCCATTTCTAACAGCCAAGAGGATTTGGAGCCAATTCTCTTTTCTGTAGTTTGTATTATAAAAGCCTGACATGTTTTCATCTGTTTTCCAACTAAACTTATATTAAATAGGTTTTTGCAAACTATACATACTTCTCCTGCCTCAGAGGGTGGGTCCCTTCTCGATGGAAAAATAATTGGCTGAAAGTGACTCCTGAAGTCTCTTTACAGAGAACCTAGAGGCTACCCTGCCACTCAGGGGTCCTGCAGTGAAGTTTGTATATACGAGGCAAGATAGAAATGTGCAGATTCAATATTGCTGCCAGACAGAGGGGAGAGCCCATTTCAGGCTTATCCATCTGCCTTTATTTCACCCGCCAGAGGCAAAATATCCCCGACCCAGCAACGGAAAAATTTCTTCTGGTCTCAGCTCTGCCATTTTCTAACCTAGTGTGTCCTTGAGCTCAAGCCACTCAGGCCATGTGGACTTCATATTCTCCTTTTTTGGGGGGAGGGAGAAGTATTAGCTGAACATTAAGATTCTTTCAGTGCTAAATGTGTAGGATCCAACCGCAAATAAAACAACTTAGCCTGAGTACAGAAGGCTGAACCAGGCCCCATCACTTGAGTTGTAGAGCCCAGTGTGATTGTGAATAAAGAAGTAATAAGAGAATAGTGATGTGAAAGTCATTGAATCTTCTGGACAAAGCTCCTTTGAACACAGCTGGGGACGTGCCCAACTCCTCTAAGCTGAGTCAGTGGTGGCCAAGGCTGGGGGGCCAGGGCCCTGACTGATGTGCTGCGGGGCTGGTGTCTTCCTGGTTATCTGCGCCAGGTCTGAACTTCTGTGGTTCTGTGGTTTCTGTGTCTCTGCGAGAGAGAGGGGTACATGTCCCTTTCTGCTGCCTTCCAGGTGGACAGGGAGGGCTGAGGAGCCTGAGCCTGCCACATTTTTCAGGGAAAAGGGGAGGAGCCATGTCCTGGGACACATTTCCATGCCTTACAGGTGTTTTCTTCCTCTGTGTTTAGCAAAGAAGGGGCACATTGTAACAACAGCAGCTACCATTTATTGCTGTTCCATCGAGGCCTTAATGATAGCACCAGGCTAGCAGCATTTTTTATTGAATTATCTTTTCTTAACAATGACACGATCAGTAGTAGATTGTGATGCCTGTGTTTTCAGATGAGGAACTGAGGCATAGAGAAACTCAGCAACTTGCCTGAAAATACTCAGGAAGGGGAAGCCAGGAGGCAGACTCAGGGCCCTGCCTCCAACTCCAGCTCTTCCCCAGCTGCCCCCTAAGAAGGACACATTCTCTTTGCAAAGAGTGGTGACAAAGCTGTGGAAATTGTCCAGTTGATCCCCTGTAACTCTGTGGGAGATTCCCACAGCCTCCGGTACTTCCTTGGAGGCTTTTTTTTTTTTTCCAAAAAAATTTTTATTGGCTGGGTGTGTTGGCTCACACCTGTAATCGCAGCACTATGAGAGGCTGAGATGGGAGGATTGCTTGAGTCCAGGAGTTTGAGACCAGTCTGGGCAACATAGTGAGACCTCATCTCTACCAAAACAAAAAATAGCCGGTGTGGTGGCTCATGCCTGTAGTCCAGGCTACTTGGAGGCTGAGGCTGGAGGATTGCTGGAGCTCAGGAGGTTGAAGCTGCAGAGTCGTGATCCTGTCACTGTATTCCAGCCTGGGCAACAGAGAGAAACCCTACCTCAAAAGAAAAAAGAAAACAATTTTATTGTAAAATATAACTCACATAAAAGTTACCATTTTGAACATGTTTAAGTGTGCAATTCAGTGGGATCAAGTATATTCACAATATTGTACAACCACCACTGCTATTTCCAGAACTTTTTTGTCCCCTGGAGGCTTTTGACTATTCCCTTTATTTGATGTCTGCCTTTGAAGCATCACCAAGATTCCCATGAAATAATCCTCGATGACACCTCTTGACTGTCCTGTGTCCCCTCTCTCACTCTTGGCCAGTGGTCAGGAGAGGACAACTTAGAAGTAATACTTCGGTCATTTGATCTGTTATTTTGCTAGAGGAGCCATCTTTGAACTAGCAAGTATGTGGGCTTTTCTGTCTGGGGACAAGAGGTGGGCCAGCCCTTCCGTGATCTGATAGCTGTGTCATGAGGGACTCCGGGGGTCCTCTGGGACCTGACACAGTGGGAACAGCACAACTCTTTGTTTTATGAATTTGCAGGAATTTGGCTGATGCATGAGCTGGGAGTGTCTCACCAGGGCCCTAGAAAGAGAAAAAGAACTGCTTTATACCCTCCAGGGGGATTATTTGGCATTCATGGCTTCAAAGAAGTAATTTCAGAGACCTAGCTGTGGGGTTTCTTTCTCGCTTGATCTATTTAAACATTCTCTATATGGTTATCTGGGCTTGTATGGAATGTGATCATTAGTGTTGGCTGCTGGTAGCCCCCTGTTGTACTGGATGCCATAACGTTCTTCACATCCAAGCTATTTCCATATCCTAGTAGGTGGATGGTAATGTTGATCCTTGGATGGGCTCTGGTAGAAAAAACTCTATTAAATGAAAAATCTCATCTTCCCAACCCTTGCAAGTTTTGGTCTCTTTAAGAAAATGAGATTTGTTTTTCACATTTTTAATTTTAAACATGACTATGTTTGAAGGCAGCCTTTGTGTATTTGGGGTGAAGTATGTTTCCCAAAGGATGTGGAACAAGAACTGGACTTTGGGGGTAGAGAGAAAAAGGGAGTCGCCCTGATAGTAAGTGAACACAGCAGTCCTAGAACAGCCCTAGTGGTCCTGAAAACCATCCTCCCTGCATTGGCCATGGCTGAAACCATCATTCATGCTGTACCTGTTGACCACGGATACCCTGGCTATAGATGAAGCCTAATGGTGGAGAAAGGATGGGGAAGAAGGGTGTCCTCTTTACCTTCCTCACAGCAGGCAATGTTCTAAGCCGCTTTACATATCCTGTCTCATTTAAACCCTAGAACTCATTGGGCTTATGTTGGCTGTGATGTATGTGGGGGAAAAAAAGAGCAAACTGTTACTGTGTCTATGTAGAAAGTAGACATAAGAGACTCCATTTTGTTCTGTACTAAGAAAAATTCTTCTGCCTTGAGATGCTGTTAATCTGTAATCCTAGCCTCAACCCTGTGCTCTCAGAGACATGTGCTGTGTTGACTCAAGGTTTAATGGATTTAGGGCTATGCAGAATGTGCTTTGTTAAAAAAGTGCTTGAAGGCAGTATGCTTGTTAAAAGTCATCACCATTCTCTAATCTCAAGTACCCAGGGACACAATACACTGCGGAAGGCCACAGGGACCTCTGCCTACGAAAACCAGGTATTGTCCAAGGTTTCTCCCCATGTGATAGCCTGAGATATGGCCTCCTGGGACCTGACCATCCCCAGCCTGACACCGGTAAAGGGTCTGTGCTGAGGAGGATTAATAAAAGAGGAAGGCCTCTTTGCAGTTGTGATAAGAGGAAGGCATCTGTCTCCTGCTAGTCTCTGGGCAATGGAATGTCTCGGTGTAAAACCCAATTGTATGTTCTATTTACTGAGATAGGAGAAAACCGCCTTAAGGCTGGAGGTGACACATGCTGGTGGCAATACTGCTCTTTAATGCACCGAGATGTTTATGTATGTGCACATCAAAGCACGGCACCTTTTCTTAACCTTGTGTATGACACAGAGACCTTTGTTTACGTGTTTTCCTGCTGACCCTCTCCCCACTATTACCCTATTGTCCTGCCACATCCCCCTCTCTGAGGTGGTAGAGATAATGATCAATAAATACTGAGGTAACTCAGAGACCAGTGCTGGAGCATGTCCTCGGTAGCTGAGCACTGGTCCCTTGGGCCCACTTTTCTTTCTCTATACTTTGTCTCTGTATCTCTTTCTTTTCTCAGTCTCTCGTCCCACCTGAAAAGAGTGGGACGAGAAAGGCCCACAGGTGTGGAGGGGCAGGCCACCCCTTCAATGTATACTTTCTTACTGCCTTTTTACAGAGAAGGACTTGGACTCAGGACCACTGGCTTGCCTGAGGTCCCTGAATTGACAAGTGCCATAAGAGATGGCCCACTCTTTCCATTCAGCCATCCTCTTCTTGAATGAGAGAGCATCTGAGGGGTCTGGGTAGCTTTAGGGTGGGCATTCAAAGGACTCCACAGAGGAGGCAGAGATGAGGACACTGCACAGGGTAGTCTGCCCAGATATAAGGGATTGAATTGCAGGACGGAGCTCAGATTCCTCAGCAAAGCTATTGACAAGGCAGAAGAAAACAGGAATAGCTCTGAGCCAGACCTTGAGTGGAAACCAGCAAAAATACCCATTAACCATACCTACAGCTGTGCTGTGTTCCCATGTGGACTTTTAGCAATACAGATAATCATCTTAGGTGAAGTTTGAGTTAAATACAGCAACATTAGCAATGTCACAGCTCACAGAGCAAAGAGCTGAGGCTCTGGAGTTACACAGTCTGGCTTGGGTTTGGACCCTGACTTTGCTGGTTGCTAGCTGTGTGACCTCAGACAAGTCACTTAATCTTTTCAGCATCTATAACGTGTGGATAATGATTGTCATGGGGCTGTCACGAAGGTGAAATGAGGTAAGGATGGCCAGGCCCTAACATGAGGTAGGACACAGTGGCCCTTGGTGGCCTGTGCAGGGTCAGTGGTGCTTGTGCTTACTGAATCAGCAGAAAACCTGCCTGCTGAGCCTCTCCTCTGCCTTCTGCATCCACAGTGCTACAGGGTGTGGACAATTCGCTGGTGGGCCTGCACAACCAGAGCTTTGCCCGGGTCATGGAGCAGCGCCTGGCCCAGCTATTCATGATGTCCCAGCAACAAGGCCGGCGGTTTAAACGGGCCACCACCCTGGGAAGCTACACCGTGCAGGTAGGTGTATACAGAGCCACTGGGGTTTTCTAATAACTGGGGGTGGAGAGGGGGGAGTGTGCTTCCTGAGACTAAATAAGTCAGTGTGCACAGAGGAGCATCCATGCTGCAAACTGACAGCCGTTTTATCAATGCTGCTGTTAGGTTTTGGGAATTGATGGTCATAACCATCAAAAACATGAAGGAGGGTGAGAGTCTGCTGCTCTTCCAACATTGTCACTAACTGGGTTATAACTACAAGGAAGTCTCAGTACAAAATCTGTACTCTGGCAGATATTTTTGAAACAAAAAATTCTTGGTAAGCAAGGACAGACTCATCATCAACTTGTTCAGTAAGCTCAATGAAGTCCCAGCTCTCTGTCCTTTTAGACCCTTTCATCTCCATTCCTCTGAATGGCAGATGCACCATTATTCCAGAGACAGGATACTGTTACCTGTGTGTAGTCAGTTTCAACAAACAGAACCCTCCAAGCTTATAGTGGACACCTGACGATGTAGAGATTTAGGCTGGAGGAGTGTAGTAACACTAGCTGTATCCAGCCCACATCCCCTTACCGTTTCTGTGCATTCCAGTTGGAGTTCCAACAGCCAGCCTCTGAATCTTTTTCAGAGGGCTACTTTTGAGATGTCAAAACCTGCTTTGCCCATGCCATGCTGGTCGGAAGTGCCTGGGAATTACCAGAGTTATAAATAACCTGGTTCTCTCACTTCTTGGCTGGGAGAATTCTGAAATGTATGTTTTAGATCATTTTCAAAGCTTTCCCACAGAATTAAGCTTTAGTCATTGACTGCAGTAACTGGCTTAATAACGCACCCCTTGTAGGCTCCTTCCTATTCCTGTATTACCTCCTCACCCTCCTGCCAGTTCGTTGCACCACTCAGATGAACTAGAAGCACTCAGCTCTTCTCAGGGTCTGCTTCTGAGGGCACCCAATCAAGGCAGTAGCCATCCCCAGGAGTAGAGATTCTAAACCTTTCTGGATACTTTAGCCAGTTCCTGCAAGAATGGGAACCTCTCTGGTGTATTCTAGCCAGGTCTACCTATCTTGAATTGTACTGTCACCACTGAGAACTCACGTCTAACTTTTTGTCAACTAATTTGTTGCGCTAATTAACAAAGCCCTGTTAGCATGATGTCAAATTAGAGAAGCACTCCTGGTAGCTGCCTCCGGAATGGGGACTTCCTAACTGGAATCAAGCAGACTACCCCTGGCATGTGAACCCCTGATTGATGATTTGACCACATCTCGGGTGTAACTGAACCATAGCACACATGCATAGTATCACACTGTCTATGAGTAAGCATTTTAAAGGAAATTGAAGCCGTTAGCATAGTCTGTGTGCAAATCCTGTCCCCAGGCAATCTTGAAAGTATAAACAACCCATCTTAATGAACACACTTCCCTGCATGAGTCATCGTCATGCCCCTGATGGAGACTCCAGGTCCCTCCATTCGCAGTTGGTGAATTTGGCCCTTTTCCTATTGGATGTTGCTTTGGTTCTAAAAGTCTTTGTGGTCTGGAATGACCTTATCACTAGGTAAAGTGATGGTTAAACTCGCATGTCAGGTTTGTGAGTTCTCCTTTGTAGGTTCCATGTGAGCTCTATCATTTCCACTCTTCCAAATGACAGGAAGAAAGTCACTGGTGCTCAGATAATGGAACTGGGATTTGCATCAGCCAAAGGGGGAGAAGGGGCCACCCTACAACCCTGGTGTTATTTGTAAACCTAAGAAATCTAACACATTTTGCATGCCAAAGGGCCCAGAGAGGTGTTCTTTCTCTCTTTTTTTTTTTTTTTTTGAGACAGAGTTTTGCTCTGTTGTCCAGGCTGGAGTGCAGTGGCACAATATTGGCACACTGCAACCTCTGCCTCCCGGGTTCAAGCAATTCTCCTGCCTCAGCCTCCTGAATAGCTGGGATTACAGGTGTGCGCCACCGTGCCCAGCTAATTTTTGTATTTTTAGTAGAGGTGGGATTTCGCCATGCTGGTCAGGCTGGTCTCAAACTCCTGACCTCATGATCCACCCGCCTTGGCCTCCCAAAGTGCTGGGGTTACAGGTGTGAGCCACCACATCCAGCCCTCTCTCATTTCTTCTAAGAGCTCAGTGCACTTGGCCCCTTTAGCTGCATGGAAAGTCTGAGGGAAGCAGGTAGGGGTTTATTTCTGCAAATCCATAATTTACAGAGGGTGTAGATCATCTTGTAACATACCCTTAAAGAAATCTTGGCAGGAAGAATTTACTATTAAGTTGAAATTGAGAGAAGCTATTAGATATTTGAATGGTCACTCAACTTCTACCAGATTCTTCTAACACTTTCCCCACCTCCTTTTCCACTAGGGAAAGGAATAACATGCCCCAGTTTCCCCCCAAAAATTCACTTTATGTGGCTTACAATATGCTTCTACCCTGAAGCCTTTCTTCTGGGCTTAGATCATTTTAAAAGATGAGCTACCCTCATGAATATGGAGATTTAACTGTCTGGAATCTAAAGATATTTCTCTAGTTAACGTATTTGGAAAACTGAGGCCTAAGAGGAAACATATGACCACTAAAATTTTTTAAATATTCGACTTAATTTGTAACTGAAGTAAGGCAAGTTTTAACTACCACAAGATGCCATTTTCACCTACCAAAGATTAGTAAAATGCTATGATCCAGTATTGATGAGTGTGGAGCAAAAAGGGCACTTTCAAACACAGCAATTGGGTATGACTTTTCTGGAGGGAAAATGAGGAATTTAGACAAGAAACTTTTAGATGATCACAGACTGACTCCTAGAAATTCATCTCAGCCAGGCACAGTGGCTCACGCCTGTAATCCCAGCACTTTGGGAGGCTAAGGTGGGTGGATCACGAGGTCAAGAAGTGGAGACCATTCTGGCCAACATAGTGAAATTCCGTCTCTACCAAAAATACAAAAATTAGCTGGGCATGGTGGTGCGCGCCTGTACTCCCAGCTACTCAGGAGGCTGAGGCAGGAGGATCACCTTAACCCGGGAGGTGGAGGTTGCAGTGAGCTGAGATCGTGTCACTGCACTCCAGCCTGGTGACAGAGCAAGACTCTGTCTCAGAAAAGAAAAGAAATTAATCTTGAGGACAAGGACACACAGGTGAACACAAAGACAAAAGAGTGAGGATAGTGTTTTCCAGAGAGTATCTAGAAAGTGATTAGGCCATTCTTGCATTGCTATAAAGAAATATCTGAGACTAGGTGCTTTATAAGAAAAGAGGTTTATTGGGAGGCCGAGATGGGCGGATCACGAGGTCAGGAGATCGAGACCATCCTGGCTAACACGGTGAAACCCCGTCTCTACTAAAAAATACAAAAAAATAGCCGGGCGAGGTGGCGGGCGCCTGTAGTCCCAGCTACTTGGGAGGCTGAGGCAGGAGAATGGCGTAAACCTGGGAGGCGGAGCTTGCAGTGAGCTGAGATCTGGGCACTGCACTCCAGCCTGGGTGACAGAGCGAGACTCCGTCTCAAAAAAAAAAAAAAAAAGAAAAGAGGTTTAACTGGCTCATGGTTCTGCAGGCTGTACAGGAAGCATAGTGTTAGCATCTGCTTCCGGAAAGGCTTAAGGAAGCTTCGAGCATGGCAGAAGATGAAAGGGGAGCAGGTCTCACATGGCAGGAGCAGAAGCAAGAAAGAGGGTGGGGGGAGGTGCCACACACATTAAACAGCCGGATCTCACAAGAACTCATTCACTACTGTGAGGACAGCACCAAGTCATGAGGGAGCTGCCTCCATGACCCAAATACCTCCCACCAGGATCCACCTCCAACATTGGGAATACACAATTCAACATGAGATTTGGAGGGGACATATAATTTGTACTATATCATGATCTTATCAAGTGTTCTTGGGAAAAGGGGCTCTCTGGCCAAATTGGTGTGGGCAAGGCTGCATTTTAAAGCCCCTTCTTGAAGAGTCCCAAAGCCTATTTGCATACCTAAGCTCTAAAAAGACCTGAAGTAAAGACATCTCCTTAATTTTCTTCAACATACTGGTTTCCAAGTTTAAATGTCAAAAAGCCCTTGTTTTTAAGTAATATCTATATATTCCCAACATTTTATTATGAACCTTTTTTTTGTTTGTTTTGTTTTTTTTTTTTTTTTGAGATAAAGTCTCACTCTGTCACCCAGGCTGGAGTGCAGTGGTGTGAGCTTGGCTTACTGCAACCTCCACCTCCCAGGTTCAAGTGATTCTCCTGCCTCAGCCTCCTGAGTAGCTGGGAGTACAGGTGTGTGCCACTGTGCCCAGCTAATTTTTGTATTTTTAGTAGAGATGGGGTTTTGCTATGTTAGTCAGGGTGGTCTCGAACTCCTGACCTCAAGTGATCCACCCACCTTGGCCTCCGAAAGTGCTGGGATTACAGACACGAGCCACTGTGCCTGGCCAACAGTTTCAAACTTGTAGAACAGTTGATAAAATTATAGTCAACACACATATCACTATCTAGATTTTACAATTGACATTATACTGTTACTATTTTATATTTGATTACATATATCATTTCCAAACACTTCCATAAGATTTTCTTAACATACATTTTCACATACTTCTAAATCATAGATTGATTTTGACATTCTAGCATTTCATATAAATGGAATTCTACAGTACATACTCTTTTGTATAAATCTTTTTTGACACAGTGTAGTGTTTTGACATTCATCCATGTTGTTATGTTATTCAGTAGTTTATTCAAATTTTTTTTGCTGAATAATATTCTCTTGTATGAATATACTACAGTTTGTTTATCTGTTCTTCTGTTGATGTACACCTGGGCTTTTCCAGTTTGTAGCTATTAAACAAGGCTGCTGTGAACATTCTTCCACAAGTCCTTTGGTGACCACATGGCTTTCACTCATCTTAGGTATATAGGCTGCAATTGCTGGTTCATAGGGTTGGTGTGCATTAGTTCTATAGGAAACTGCCAGACCTTTCTCCAAAGTGTTTACACCATTTGCACTCCCACCAGACAGGTGTTCCAGTTGCTTCACTTCCTCAGCAACACTTGGTGTTGTCAGTTCTTACTTTAGCCATTCTGGTGAGTATAGAGTGGTCTTTTGTGGTTTCAATTTGAATTTCCCCATTGAGCATTTTTGTGTGCTTATTGGTTATTCAGACATCTTCCTTTGTGAAGTGTCTGATCAGCTCTTTTGCCCCCATTTTCTATTGGGTTGTAATAATATCTATTTTTTTTTTTTTTTTTTTTTTTTTTTTTTTTTTTTTTGAGACGGAGTCTCGCTCTGTTGCCCAGGCTGGAGTGCAGTGGCCGAATATCAGCTCACTGCAAGCTCCACCTCCCAGGTTTACGCCATTCTCCTGCCTCAGCCTCCCGAGTAGCTGGGACTGTAGGCGCCTGCCACCTCGCCCGGCTATTTTTTTGTATTTTTTAGTAGAGACGGGGTTTCATCATGTTAGCCAGGATGGTCTCGATCTCCTGACCTCGTGATCCTCCCGTCTCGGCCTCCCAAAATGCTGGGATTACAGGCTTGAGCCACCGTGCCCGGCCTATTTTTTAATTGTTATGCATAGCATACACACAAAACAGTATAAGAAAGATGCAGAGTTTAAAGGACACTGATAAGAATCCACAACCTGAAGGGTAAGAATATTACCCTTACCTCATCCCAAAAGCCTTTCACATGTCTTCTCTGAGGAAGAGTGAATCTCTAAACTCTGAGTTTAGAGTGAATCTGAATTTTGTATTAAATCATTCCCATATTTTTTGTATAGATTTTACTACCCATGACTGTATCTCTAAATAGTATATTAGGTAGTTTTGCTTAATTTTTAACTTTATATTTTGTGATTTGTTCCTTTTACTCAACATCAGGCTTTTGTATTCATCCATAATGATATGAATAACCATAGTTCATTCATTTTCACCACTACACTATAGTATTTCATTGTGTGAGTATACAATAGCTCATTATCCAACCTATTATTAACAACTTTTTTATTTTTAGTCTTTTTACTGTTATAAACAATGTTGCTATAAACATTTTTATAATATCTTTAAATATCTTGTGAAATTCATAATCTGTAATATAAACTTTGGAAAATACTATACTATTTATGATTTGTTAATTATAACTGCAAAAAGTTGATAACCAAATGTTCAATAATAAAGGGTTAGTTTGATTCACCAAGCGTGCATACAGTAGAACACTATGTAGGTATTGAAACTTAAGTTTTAGTATTTGTGATTATCAATTGTTAATTACAGTAGTAAAAAATTAGTAACAATCTAAATGTTTAATAATAAAAGATCATTTAAATAAGTTTATGAGGTATGCATCAGAATGCCATGTAAAAATAAACGTTTATGCTTTTGTTATATTTAAGGTCCTTTAAAGATGCAAGTAAAAATTGCAAGATATTGTATATAGACTATGATAAATAATCTTGTAAACTAGTAAGGAAAAGGGTTGTGTGGGCAAGAACAAAGAATGGAAGCAAATACTCTATAATGGCAACAGTAATTAGCTTGTGATAGAAGGATTACAGATTGTTTTTATTTTATTTCTTGATGTTTTTCCGTATTTTCAAATTTTCTTACAGTGAATATGTATAACTTTTAGAGAACAAAAAGCAAAACCATTATTTTAGAAAAAGAACATTGGGTTTCCAAGTAGTGCTTTTATCAGAGATCTTTTGAATTGCAGACATATAAGTTCATTTTTCTCCCTCTCTGGCAATTACAGATATTTGAAATTAACAGTCCTGTTTGAGAATAACCTAACATGCCCTGAATTAAATGCAGAGGCCTATTTTCAAATGAGGCCAGAGTTCTGTGGATGTTGGGAGACATCACTATCCTGTGTTTTCTTCTCCAACCGCAAACTGTTCTTTCCAGATGTTCATATTTTTCAAACCCTTTTTTCTCCTCCCAGTCTCCTGCTCCAGCGAGAGCAGGCTTCTTGAGAGGCTATATATAGGGAGGTATGCAAAGGTTGGCGTCTAGCCACAGAAGGCTTCAGCAGTCGGGAGGGGAACATCTGCTGATCACCTGGGTGATTGCAGGGTCCGTGCAAGATGCCCTGCAAACACTCGGCCTCTCTTTTTCCGAAAGATGGTGAAGATGCAGCGTGTCCCAGGCCCGAAGGACCCAGCGGAGCTGACTTACTACACCCTGTACAACGGGAAGCCTTTGCTGGGGACCGCAGCTGCCAAGATCCTGAGCACCATTGATTCCCAAAGGATGGCCTTGACCCTGCATCACGTTGTCCTTCTGCAAGCTGACCGTAAGGGAATGGTCTTTTTATTCAGTCTTTTTAATGCCATTAAATGTTTCCTGAAAATCAAAATGATTCCCCAAACTCATGTTAATGGTCTCAGAGCTAAACATACTTGTATTCTGGAAGGGTCTTAAATCAATCAGCTATGTTTCTGTGTTGTTTCAAGCAATAAGGGATGTGTTTTGGATATTGGAAGGATGGCAATGATATTACTTTGCCCCCAAGTCCTACCCCCCTTCTTCCTCAGCATAATCTAGTGAACAGCTATGAAAATCACTGTAGCTGAGTTTATTTTTGTATGCCAGGGGGATTAAAGATAATTTGATTCAACAAACACTTATAAAGTTCTACATGAAGTCGCTTAGTGCTGCAGGATGTATGGAAGTGGGCGAGACCTGGCTCCTGCCCTTAAGGAGCAGGGAGACTTAATGCAGGTGCAATGGCACCTAACACAGGAAAGTGCTGCAAAAGGCAGTGTGTGATACAGGGTCAGCAGAGGGAGGGTTTGCTTCGAAGGGGCATCTGGAAAGGGTGAGCAGAGGAAGGATGTTAAAAATAATAGCTGTCTCTCTGAATACCCTCCCCTGGGGCAGCTGCTATGCTAGTTACTTCACCTAGATTTTCTCACTTTCTATTCTCATTGGGGCAGTGTTTACTCAGATCTAAACCACAGGAAAGGAACCCAAGGCTCAGAAAAATGAAATAACCTGCTTGGCATCACAGAAGAAGGGCTTAGGTGGCCGGGATATTAATCTACATCTGTCTGTCTGTCTGACTTTGAACCTGTGTTCTTAACTACATGACACTTGAAGATTTCAGCAGAGGGAGAAGAGGGTGTGCATATTCCAGAAAGAGAGGGCAGCATGAGCGAAAGAATGGAGGTGAAAAGTACCAGGTGTGCTTGAAAACTAGTTCAGGTTGCCTGGGGCGCCGACACCGATGGAAGAGTTAATGGAATTGGAAAGGTGTATTGATCCGGAGACTAAGGCCTTGAATGACAGGGAAGGAGATAGTACACACTCTGATCAGCTGTGGGGTGCTGATGAAGATTTCTGAGCTAAGGAGTAATATCATTGGAACTGCCCATTTTTAGGAAACTTAATTGGTCAGCAGTGTCCAGGATGGGAGCAGACAGGAAGTGGCAGGACTGGTGAGGAGGCTCTGTGGCGTCCCAGGCATTGGGAACCCAAACAAAAGCTATAAAGAGAGTGGGGGAAGGGGAAAGGGTGTGAAGGTGAGAGATTGGGTGGTAGAAATGTTAGTATTTGGCAGCATACTGAGCGTGAAGGCAGGAAAGGTCATCTCCTGTGGGTTTGCTTTCCTAGGTTATGTCTGTGCTCTCCAAGTCCCTGACACCTGGCTCTTGGTCTTCCTCTCCTGCTCAGCTCTTGTCTTCATCCAGTTTACTTTTGCTTCCAGGGTGATGGTCCAGACTTTGTATTGTCTTGCTCAGCCAGCACATCCTCACAGACACAACTTTGTCTAGGAATGACGATGGTCACTCTCTGCAATCTTGTTTTTCAAAATGACATTTTTAACCAAGATTCTCTTCCTTTGCACCTCTCCCCTTCCCTCCCTGTGGGCTCCGTCCTCACCCGCTCAACAGCTTGCTTCATCTGTTTTGCCGCATCATCTTTATGTGGACTCCAGAGCATTCTGTTCTCAGCTCTTTCTCCCTCTCTCCAGGTGAGGAATAAATCATAGAGGACGGGAGTGAAAACCACTGCAGGTGCCCAGGCGAGAGCTGAAGGTACTAAAGGTGCACACTCAGAGAAGTGAACAGATTCGGGATATTTCAGGGGACAGAGTCAATGGCGCAAGATAATGATTCTGTGTGTAGCCAGGGAAGGAGGCGGGACTCAGAGGTGCTGGCTTGAGCACTGGTTGTGGTGCCATTTTTTGAGATGCAGAAGGTGCAGGTCAAAGAGGATAAGTGGGGTTGGAATGGGAACAGGGGAGATGGAGCTGGGATTTTGGTTGTAGACATGTTAGGTGTGAGATGTCTACTAGACATCCACGTGGATCTCAGAAGACAAACTCAGGAGTCATCAACATATAGGTGACATTTAGAGCTAAGGGAATAGGTGAGAATAACCAGGTGGTTTAGCTAGAGAGAAAAGGGAGAAACTGAGCCCTGGGGAATCCACATGTGGGAAGAGTGACAGCGAGCAGAGGACACTGACCAGGAGCAGCCAGGCAGATGGGAGGAGAGCATGGGGTTCAGCAAGCAAGCAAGGACAGCAGATCTCAGGGGAGGGAGAGAGCTGTGTTGATGTATATTCCCAAGAGGCAGGGAGTGATAGGGTAGAGATTAGAGGTTGGAGGTTGTGACCTTAGCAGGAGTGGTTTTGCAACCAGATGGGCTGAGAAGAACAAGGTGTGGGGAAGCAGTGACAGCAAAGGGAAGGAAATTTTCTGGGGCAGTTGCTGGAGGGATTCTATGGCATCCCAGGCATTGAGAACCCAAACAAAAGCTAGAACGCTTGAATTGGTGTGTGTTTGAATATTGAGGGGATGCTGTCATGGAGAGGGAGAAGCTGATGATGCAGAAGAGAGAGGCAGGAATAGTAGGTGCAAAATCTGTCAATGAATGAGGCAATGGGATCTGGTGCACAGGTGGAGGGGTCTGCAGGGACAGCTGGTCCTTTCTAATGAGGGGAAAGTGGAGTACAGGGGACACATGGTGATGGAAGCTTGCGGATGCTGTCTCCGATTGTGCTCTCTTGGGCATAGTGAAATGAAGTAGGCAGCTGAGATCGAGGTGTGTGGGGTGGATCTGAGCTGAGGTGTGGTAATACACACTGAGAATGGCAGAGCAGACTGCCCAAAAAGTGCCTGAAGATGGGCAGACAGGGCTCCACTTCTCCTTAATCCTCATGGCTGTGTCCATACCACTTCTTTTTTTCAATCCCAGGTCCTTTGAAGCTCCCCGTTCTTTGCTGCAGTCACCTCAGGGCCCCAAGAGGCCCCCATCACTCACTGGAGATTTATGCACCTGGCTCAGTATCTCTTCCTCTCTAACACTTCTTCTGTTCTGGCCATCTGCTGCTTTGACCTGTCAGTTCTGTAACAGTTCTATGATGGTCACTCTCTGCAGTCTTATTCTCAAAATGACTTTTTTAGCCAAGACTCTCTTCCTTCACTCCTCAAGGCTACCCCAGGCCTTGAGGTACTTGGGACAGGAGAGCTGCTTCATGGTGAGCAGAGGTGAATGAAGTGTCAGGAGGACCGGGTGAGGCTAAGGGACTTTGCTGGTGGCAGTGGATGGGGTCAGGGGCCAGGACAGGAGAGAGAGGTCCTATCAGGTTAGAGTCATGGAGCCTTTTGGGAGTGAGAGTCTGGGAGGTGAGGAATGGCTCGGAGGCTCAGCTATCACTCAAGAGAGCCAAGATTCAAACTCTGTTTGGCCAGGCTCCAAGGCTGCCACCCTCTGACCCTTCCAGCCTCACTCCTTTGTCTCCTTCAAATTCACTTGGTCCTCTCAGTTGTCTTCCACAGTCACTCACAAATCCATTTCCTTTTCTCCATCCCATCATTCTCGCCCACTTGGACCATGGCAGTAGCTTCCAAAGTGACTCCCGTTAATGTGCCTTCCGCATTGTAATTAGAGTCATTGTAATAAAACATGAATTCTGATCTTACATTGACTCCACTTTAAAAAAAATACTTGCTGGCTCCTGTCATTCACAGAATAAAATCCAAACTCCTGTCTTCGCAGCAGGTGCGCCCAGCAAGCGTTCAGGACTGCACAGCCTGGTCTCAGGCTGCTTTTCCAGCCATGTGGCCTGCGTTTCTCTCCTTCACATCTGAAGCCATGCAGGGGTTTTCATCCTGCATGTTCCCTCTCCCTTGAAGCCTTCCTTGGCCCCCGAGGCACAGCCCTCCATCTCCCTTGGTTCCAGGAGCCCACATTGCCCTCCTCACATTGGGCCATAACAGTTGTTTTCTGTCTCTCTCCCTCATGAGCTCTTTAAAAGCAGATGCCGCATCTCATTCATCTTGGAAGATCTAGCTCCAGCTCCTTCCTGGTTCAATTCTTGTGAAGGCAAAGGAACCGCCCTTCACCAGTGCCTCTGCTAGGTGCCGAGAGAGGCATGTGGTTAGGAGACATCATAGCACTTGAGAGAAGAGCCTTTGAAATAAGGTAACCCAGGCCCAGCCCCTGCTCTTCCACTTTCTAGTTATGGAGCTTGGAGTCAAGTTAATTAGCCTCTCTGACCTTCATTTTCCCCACCTGTAAAGTGGTAACATAAAAAACACCTCCCTAACAGAGCTACACAGGAGATTAAAAGAGATCATTATTGCCTGTAAAGGGCTTGGTGCAGTCCTGGGGCCCCTGTTAAGCACATAGTAAGTGGCAGCTGAATCTCTCCGTCGGTATCCCAGCAACACCCGACAATATCCCACTGGCACCCCCATGATATGTCATTATCCCCTTAACCTCCACACAGCTCAAACAATAAATTACCTTCTGCCTTCTAATGATGTGTCTCCTCTCCAGTCCCCTTTCCATCTTCATTAGTCGCACCCTCTTCTCTGTGTTATATGGGTTCTCAATCTCCTTTCTTCTTCATTTCTCTCCTGTAGTCCTCCAACCTCATGGATAAAGGAGATTCAGCTGCCACTTACTATGTGCTCAACAGGTGCCCCAGAACTGGGGGCACTGATGGGATATCAAGGGTGCTGATAGGATATCCTATGAAGGTTAAAAAAGGTGTTGGGAATTCAAGCCTAGACCTCTGGAGAGAGATTCAAGGTAACATTACAGACTTTGAGAATTCTGTAGATAGAGATTAGAATTAAAATCCTGGGGAAGGCCGGGCACGGTGGCTCAAGCCTGTAATCCCAGCACTTTGGGAGGCCGAGACGGGCGGATCACGAGGTCAGGAGATCGAGACCATCCTGGCTAACATGGTGAAATCCCGTCTGTACTAAAAAAAAGTACAAAAAACTAGCCGGGCGAGGTGGCAGGCGCCTGTAGTCCCAGCTACTCGGGAGGCTGAGGCAGGAGAATGGCGTAAACCTGGGAGGTGGAGCTTGCAGTGAGCTAAGATCCGGCCACTGCACTCCAGCCTGGGCGACAGAGCGAGACTCCGTCTCAAAAAAAAAAAAAATAACAATAATAATTCCTGGGGAAAATGTGAGTGCCTGGTGAAGGAACGTAGCTAGTGGATGGAAGAGGGAAGCAAGAGGACATCCTCTGGGAAGTATGTCCACCCCAGGAGCATATGAGGATGAAGATAAGGCCAATGAAGGAGAAGAGAGCAGAGATCTTTAAAATCCCATTTTCTCCCAGTAGTTTCAAAATCAGCCTACAATGTTCATCTGAGGTCAGGGCTTTGAATAGAGAGTCACAGTGTTGAATACTTTGTCTCTCTCAAGGGAGAGTGTCTGCATTCTGTGTGTTCTAGAGCCTTCTAAATCACTAATTCTAGGGCCAAGACTGGAGCATGCTGTGCCCATGTGACTCACCCCATCACCTCTGGGTGACGAGGCAGCGTTTGACTTCATGGAAGCAGCTGGAGGTTTGCATCTGGTCCATTTGCAGGGTCTGGAGTGAGAGGCACTTCAGAGTTGTTATCCAGCTGACGGAATAGGGAAAATTCGCCCCAAGGAGAAGCATACCAGAGCGGGAAGTGGTTTGCTTTACATGGCCACCAGACATTTATCTCAAAAAATGCCACTTGGCTGGGCGCAGTGGCTCACACCTATAATCCCATCTCTTTGGGAGGCTGAGGTGGGTGGATCACCTGAGGTCAGGAGTTTGAGACCAGCCTGGATAACATGGAGAAACCCCCGTCTCTACTAAAAATAAAAAAAACAGCTGAGCCTTGTGGTGGGTGCCTGTAATCCCAGCTACTTGGGAGGCTGAGGCACAAGAATGGCTTGAACCTGGGAAGTGGAGGTTGCAGTGAGCTGAGATCGTGCCATTACTCCAACCTGGGGGGGACAGAGTGAGATTCTGTCTCAAAAAAAAAAAAAAAGAAAAAGAAAAAGAAAAAAAAAGCCACTTAAAGAAATAGACTGACCCTCTGGTGAAGAGGACTCAGGCTTATTCACTTCTTTAACAGATATTTATTGAGCACCTATTATGTGCTGGGCACTGGAGATACAGCAGTGAATGAAGTAGACAAAAACCCTGCCCTCGTGGAGCTTATGCTCTAGGGTGGGCAGATCAAGGAAACTAAATAAATAATTAACATGTTCGGTGCTGATTAGTGCTGTGGAGAAAAGTTGGGCAGGGAAGGGCTAGGACATGTTGATAAGATAGTGGTTGCAATTTTAAATTGTTGGGGGGTCAAGAAGAGAATCAGTGAGGAAGTAAGCCCTGAGTGACCACCTGAAGAAAGGGAGGGAGGCAAGGGTCCCTGAGGTTATCTGGGGGCCAGGTTCCAGGCAGAGAGAAGACAGTCTGACACCCAGCACCGAGGTCATTGAGGGAGCAGAGTCGTAGCCGTGAGGTCAGAGGCACAGAAGAGTGGCCATGGTCACTAGGGCCTTATGGGCTGGGCCCCCAGTGGGAAGAGAAGCCACGGGAGGGTTTGGTGGGAGAACGATGTGGACTGAGCACTAGCCAGCCTCTGGGCCCCGGGAGGACTCTCTCCTGCATCCAGTCACCCCAGTTATGAGCTCTAATATTTGAGGCATAGGTGATGGCCACAAAAACAAACTGGAAACACTTTTGAATGGATTCCTTCTCCTTTCAACATTTGCTGCACATGAGAATAATTTATTTTGTGTTAGATTATTTGGACTCTTTGACTTCATTCCTTCTGACAAATTATGTGTGTGTGTACGTGTACGTGTGTGTACACATGCACATAAGCACACACTTTTATTCACATGTGTTAACTCGGAACCGACTTTAACTGTTTATTTCAGAGAAGTGACTTTTCATAGAAACCTCTGACCTCTCCAGGTCTCAGTTTCCTCATCAGCATATTGGGGATAAGAAAAGCACGCAGGCAAAGGACCTATCACAGCGCCTAACACACAGTAGGCACTCAGGAAATGGGTTTTCCTATCAGTCTTGTACTGAAATTCTTGCAATTTAAACAATTTAAATAACCATTCATTCCTTTTCACCTTTAGACGTGACTTTGTACTTTTAGGTAATCATGCCAATGAACACGACATTGAGTTTGGATGACTTCAGTTGACCTAACTTTACTCTTGTTTTGACCGTTAAATTAATTTACTGATGCATCTAAGATAAAATCTGTTCAGTTTATGTAAATGAAGGTGAGGGGATTTTACATACTGCACCAAGAAGAAGCACCTCCACTAAAACAATAAAACTGGGTAAAAACTGAACAGTCTTGCTAATAAAAAAAAAATAGTATGTATTTATTTCGGGCATACACTGATGCACTGTACATTTTTCTCCATCAGGATAGAATAACCTAACTAAAAAGAGGCATACTGATATTTTTCACAGAAGCTATAAGCTTTAAAAAATGTTAATGACAGAATACTCACGTGTAAATACTGAATTGCTAAAAGCAGGAGCAATTAAGTGTTTAATGTCAACAGAAACATGTTATCTAATGAGCTGTTTTCAGAAGTTAATAATGTGATTAATCACCGATTGATAAAAACTGTGGAGAAAAAGCTCTTCTGTACTAATAGTATTCTGAGCCTAAGGGCAGCCAGATGAGAGGTAGATCTTGGCTAATGAGGAACCACTTGATGTCAGGGCTTGGCTGAAATCAGAGAGGAAGGAAGACTGGCTGGCTCCTCAGGCAGGTCTCACCATGTGACACTTACTGGTGGGGTGTTCATATTCCAGGGTCTGGGCCTCAGTTTTGCCTAGTGGCCCCCAGGTTCAGCAGGATCAGGAGGACCAACGCATGCTAACCAGGCTTACAAGAGTTTGATGTATAAACAAGATTGCCAATATATTAATTTAAACTACGGGCCAAACCTACCACAGAGAAGAGACTTCTCCTTTTAACTTGTCAACACTTTTTCTGTCTCAGGTAAATCATATGATGAGCTTTGGCAAATGTAAACACCCATGTAACCCAAGTCTCTATCATGATATAGAGCATAACCATCACCCTGTTGCCCTTTCCAGTTAATTCATCCCAGCCCCCCTCACCCCGAGGCACCTACTGTTTTAATAGCATAGCCTTCCTGCTGCCAATCACTTTGGTTGCTCTTCTTTACTCTGGTTCTGAGAACAGCCTGAGGCTTTTGACTAGACCGAGGCATTTCCAAGCTCCCAGCCAGCTATTCTGGGGGAGATCCATCTGCTCATGTTACATTTTACTCGTTGCTCACTCTCAGGGTGACTACACTACAATATTGAGAGTCATTTCTCTGTGGCTTTTGCCTCCTGATTCCAGCACACATTTCTAATCTGCACATTTCTCCTCTTCACTTTTCTTTTGACTTGTGGACATCACCTGTGGGGAAAATTGTTACTGATCCATCTCTTTCTCCTCTTCCTCTCAGTAGTAGTGAACCCTATCATTTACTGAGCAGCTACTAGAGATCACACCAAAAACACTACAAAGTGACAGCCCATTTTACAGATGAGGAAACTGAGACTCAGGGAGCTTAAGTCACTTGCCCAAGGTCACACGGCTGCGGAGGTGGAGGCTTTCTAACCCCAAACCCTTTTAACCCCCCACATCCTTCTGTCCATGACTTGGGACTGGGGTGGGGGGTTATGTCTGGGTTGCTTTCCTCTTCCCGGTGCTGCTTGTCATGTCCCTCCTACTGGCTCTTTCCCACAGCCGTGGTGAAGAACCCTCCCAATAACCTGTGGATCATCGCCGCAGTGCTGGCGCCCATCGCCGTGGTCACCGTCATCATCATCATCATCACTGCCGTGCTCTGCAGGAAGAACAAGAACGACTTCAAGCCCGACACCATGATAAACCTGCCGCAGAGAGCAAAGGTATATGGAAGTGGTGGGGAGAGGGGCAGGAGCACAGGCCTGCGGGAGCTTGGCCTGCCGTTCCCTCTTGCCTTTTGAGGCCATTGCAAGAGCCTGCAGAAACATCAGGGCAGGTCCTCATTTTGAAGGAGACCCTTCCTTTTAGCCTCAGGACCTGATGGCTCGTGGTTATCTGATGCCCATTCTGCCATCAGTGCTTCCAAGTGCTTTATATATAGCAGCTCTGTAATTCTCCCAGCTGCCCTTGGAGGAAGGACTATTATTTTACAGATGAGGAAACCAAGGCATAGAAAACTACAAGCTAAAGAGACCTGAAAGAGATTTTAGAGATAATGTAATCAGACTCCCTCCTTGCACCCTTGAAAAGTAACTCTTTCAAGGTCATATGGTTAGTAAGTGGCAGAACTGCTGGTAGAATCAGGTCTGCTATGTTCTGAACGTTGTGGTCCACAGATTTATATGCTGAAATTCTGACCCCCAATGTGATGGTATTAGGAGATAGGGCCTTTGGGAGGTGATTAGGTCATGAGGGTGAAACCCCCAGGAATGAGATTAATGCCCTTAAAAAAGAAGCACTAGAGAGCTTCCTTGCCTCTTTAACCACGTGAAGACACAAGACGTTGGCAGCCTGCAGCCCAGAAGAGGTCCCTCACCTCTGACCATCCTGGCACCTTGATCTTAGACTTCCCAGCCTCCAGAATTGTGAGAAATAAACTTCTGTCATTTATAGGCCACCCAGTCTGTGGTGTTTTGTTACAACACCCCGAACTGACTTAGACAAAGTCTCTTGGCTCCTAATGCAAGGCTCTCTGGAGCACATGCTTGGTTGGAGTGACATCTTCAGAGGCCACCATGATGGAGAAGCTGCAGGACTTTGGATGGGCAGCCAGCAAACCCCCGTTCAGTGGCTCCACTGAAGCCTGTCCTGGAGCCCCACCCACCCACTGTGGCCTCCACATCTCTGCACCACCCACCTGCAGTGACTGGGAGAGAAATGGACTAGGACATGCTGCAGGTCACGTTGCTCCCTTCATGATATTCCATGAGAGAAATAACTAACTGTCATACCTGATGCTTAAATAATGCCTTACAATTTGCTGGGCTCCTCGAGGTCTGTCACCTCGTTTGTTCATCACAGCAGCCTTATGAGGGAGCTCGTAGTCAGGGAAGGTTTTATTATCTTCATTTTACTGCCAAAACACCCAAGGGAAAGAGAGACTTCGGGATTTGTCCAAAGTCATGCTAGCAGCAGAGGGGTGACTGAGGCTCACATCCGAGTCTTGGAGCATTTTCTCCATTATACACCTACCTGAACCCTGAGATTTGGCATTTAGAATCCTTTTCCAGCTCTGAAGACCTGAGCTTTGTCCACCTGTGTAGGAATGAAACAGCAAACTACCCCTCATATTCCAGAGCCATTGGAATGCGTGTCAGCCATGGAGATTGTCCTTGCAGGGGTGACGCATGCCTTAGTTCTTTCTTGATGATCACACCTCGCTTCAGCAAAAGAAATCGAAGGATTTTATTGTTTGTTAAACCAATACAACTGTTTTGATGCTGCAGCTTGATTAGATACTCTGTCTGTTGAAGAGCTAAACCCCAAAGCATGTTGTCCTGTTTCAGTTGACACAAAGGCACCTGCTTCCCAGACACAGCAGGATGTCGGTAAGAAGTGTACATTGGGAATTGCCCAAGCAGTGAAAGATGAAACTCTTCCAAGAGTATGTATTTTGGTTGGGCACTGTGGCTCACGCCTGTAATCCCAGCACTTTGGGAGGCCGAGGGCAGATCACCTGAGGTCAGGAGTTCGAGACCAGCCTGACTAACATGGAGAAACCCCATCTCTACTAAAAATACAAAATTAGCCGGGTGTGGTGGCACACGCCTACTTGGGAGGCTGAGGCAGGAGAATTGCTGGAACCTGGGAGGCAGAGGTTGTGGTGAGCTAAGATCACGCCATTGCACTCTAGCTTGGGCAACAAGAGCAAAACTCCATCTCAAAAAAAAAAAAAAGAGTGTGTATTTCATCTCCATCTCAGGTTAGTTACAACATGAGCCTTTTACACATAATGGTAATAACCTGAATCTAACTGTACCCGCATCCAGGAATATAAAACATGCCATACTGAGATTGTAAGAGGCATATTTATGTTATAGATTAGACCAAAATTATACTAATCTGCCAAAATGAGTTGGACAACACGTGATTTCCGCATAGCTTCTGGCTTGAAGGCTGTCTGAAGCTAGGACAAATTAGCATTTGTGGTTTTCCGTAGCTCCTTCTGTGTCCTACTCTGTACGTAGGGCTTTGTGAGATACCTGGCTGACATTGAACGTCAAGCAAATTTATGTTCCATGAGATGATTGAATTCACTTGTGTGTGGTGGAGCTGGTTGGTTTCCCTCTCCATGAGGCTGGGCTACATACTTTGACTCCCAAAGCCCTTTTATCATGGGAAACCAGCAGGGTGGAACTGCCTCCTGCTTACTGCGGTTCTTCTGCCATTACAACCCAGGGACACTGCAGTGTTGGAGAGAGGAGAGAGCTTCCTGCATCGCTTCTCACCACCTTGTGTGTGTGAACAGAATTCAATTAATGTCAAGGGACAAGGCAGAACAAAAATGTTAGTCTTCACCACCAATCCATAGACTAGGAGGATGGTCCTGGGGACATCGCTGCATCTTTAGAATTCAGGTTACAGTGCCAGAGGGCAGTCCCAGGGATCCTTCCCAAGACTCAGTAATAAACTTAACATGCTAAACAGAGGAGGTGAGTGTGGCTTTCCTGGGAGCTGAGGTCAGGGTATGGATACCCTCACCCTTCTTCAGAGACAAGGTACCACGGACTACCCCATTCCCATTGTTGTCAGGTGGGCTTCTGCAGGTAGAATGGTGAAAAATGATACATGCAAGAGGGCCAGCATCATGACTTTTGTCACCTCCTTTCTTCCTAGTTCACAACTCTTCACTCTGTCATTGGATGTAAAGCTGTTTTTCTAGTTTTTCCCTTCATAGAATTGAAGAGATCATGTTTCCCTGGAAGAGGCCACCTTAGGAGAGGGTATATAGGACCATGTTCAGATGCAGGATGGAGCTTGAAGGGTCTGTAATCTTTTGCATGAACATCTGCCTTGGACAGGCCAGTCACCCCCTAAGAACAGCCAGCGGCTTCTTCTTTCCCACTACTATCTGTAGGATGCTATCTATAGGGTATCTATAGGATAACTTACCCAGCTCTGTGAGCCTAGGTAAGTTGCTTAACCTCTCTAAACCTCAGTTGCTTCATCTGTAAACTGGGAACTCATGATAATACCTACCTTCTTGAAATAGAGTGAAGATGCAATGACATAAGTTATGTACTGTGTTTAGTACTGTGCCATTAATATCAAATGAGGCTGAAACTGAGCCCCTTGAGGGGGAGGAACCAGTTTATTTAACTTTACATGTTCAGCACCAAGGACAGTCCCTGTTGTTGGAACAATAGGAAAGTTAAACATCAGGAAAGTTACTTAACCTCTGTGCCTCAATTTTTCCATCTGTAAAATGGAGATATTTCCATCTGTAAAATGGAGATATAATAATCGTATATATGGTGTTGTGAGGATTAGGTGAGTTAATATATATACATCGCTTTGAGATATGTCTGGTACATAATAAATACTACCTGTAAGTTGGCTTTTATTGTTACCCATGCTTTTTTTCTGAAAAGGTCTTGGCAGTGTATCCACCATTGAAATTTTTGGAGATTATTTTGATTTGATAATTTTATAAAACTAACTGAAGTAACTATAGCTACTTCATGCTATTTTATTATTGGGGTTAGGAGTCACTAATGTGTCTAATGGGCAATTGATTAATCTCAGGTAATTTTCCAGTTGAAAGCTAAAAGACCAGTATCCTGGGAGGCAGAAGAGTGAGGGAATAGTAGTGTTAAGTCCTGCGCCACTTAGCTGTGTGATCTTGGGCAAGTCACTGAACCTCTCTGAGCTTTTGTTTTCTTATCTGTGAAATGAAGGCTGTGGTGTTTGCCTTGCTTACTTCACAGGTTTGTTGCAGAATGAGATATCAGTGTTTTGCATACTGTAAGTACTAAACATACACAGGGATTGTTGTGATGAATAACACAGGTGTAATTAACCTAATAGCAATGGCCACCTTTTAAGCTCAGAATTTCTTAATATCTTTCTTTGTGTACATCCATCATTGACTCAATCACCTGAAATATCCAGTGGATAACTTTAACCCAGTGTGAAAGGTAAAGGGTGAAATCCAGAGGGAGGAGAGAGAAAGTGGGGGATGGGACCAGAGCCAGCTTTCCCTATCATTGGGTTCTTGGGAAGTCTTAGCTGCTATTGGAGCCTCCCACTTCCTCACAAACAGGCCAGGAGTGTTGCACAGGAGCCAGGCCATGTACTGCAGGAGATGCTAACCAAGCTAGGAAGCTGCAGAAGGAAAGAAACGTCTGTGGGAAGACTCATCAAATAGTGGTTAGATGTTCCAGCTCTGGGTCATATAGTCCTAGGTTCAAATGCTGACTCCATCAGAGCTCTGTGAGCCTGGGTAAGCTGCTTAACTTCTCTAAACATCAGTTGCTTCATCTATAAACTGGGGACTAATGATAATACCTACCTTCTTGAACTATAGTGAAGACGCAATGATATAAGTTGTTTACTGTGTTTAGTACTGTGCCATTAATATCAAATGAGGCTGAAACTGAGCCCCTTGAGGGTGAGGAACCAGTTATTTAACTTTGTATGTTCAGCACCAAGGACAGTCCCTGTCGTTGGAACAAAACTGAATAGGATAATGGGGGCATGAGGGTGTGGTACAAAAGGGGCCAACAGGACATGAGACTGGGCAGGCAAGTTCAGCTGCCATGTGAAGGGCTTTGAATGCCTCACCAAAGCATTTGGGGAGACATTCAAGGCCCTTCATATTTTAAATGAGGGAGTGATGCAACCATATGTGTTTTAAGGGAGATAATTTTGGAAGCTTATCAGGGGTAGGCCTGGAAACGAGCTAAATTGGAAGCAATAAGACTGAGGCAGGAGATAGGGAAACAGTGGACCTGGGGAGTAAAAGTCAGCTTCCAGAAACATTTCAGACATTGAATCTAATTGGTGACCAATTGGTTGTGGAAGGAGCAGGCAATTCAGTATTTGAGGGACATTACCAAGTCATCTGAAGGCTCTCTTCTGTTTCTTGTAGGCCAGGTTCAGAAAGCGAAAAGAACAGAGACTGCCTTCCCTCAGCAAACGCTGTTTCAGAAACGCAGTCCCAGGTCCTGGCCTCAGAATGTCACTGATCACCACATAGGTCAGAGTGTATGTCTCAGAGAAGAGAAGGGGGTGATCGCACTTCCCAGAGTGAGTTTCTCAGGGAACTGGGGGAACTGTCCATGGCAAAGCTATAGGCAGCCTCAAATAAAAAAGCCTTGTTGGAGGTAGCAATAAAACTCCATCCTGTTCTGAGACACAGTGGTGAGATTTGACAGGTTAGGCCACAGTTCTAGACTGGATTGTGAAATCCACTGGAAACTTCCTGTTGTATTTCTTAGCTAAATTAGCTGCTAAAGGAGGGGCTGCTGATCATATCAAGTTCTGATATACTCTAAATGACAGAGGTTGAATTTCATCTGCAAATTTTCTTGAAAAAACTCACTGCTGTCCGTTTCACCTGGACTATGATTTATCAGGAAAGCAAAAGTAACAACTAATATTCATTGAGCACTTACTATTGGCTAGGCACTTATCTAAGTGCTGAACTTGAATTTCTTATTTAATCCTTATAGCATTCCCTTAAGAGTGGTTACATTTTGCTCTCACAAATGTGTAAATTTTATCCTGTTTATACTATTATCTCCAATTAATGTAATAACAATGGCCATCTTTTAAGCTTGATCAAGAAACTGATGTGCAGAGAGTTTCACTAACTTACCCAAGGTCACTCAGCTAATGAATGGCGGAGTCAGGATTTGAACCCAGGCAATCTGCTTTTGAAACTGCCACTTTTACCCCCCACACTGTCCTGCCTGAAATCGGTATTGTACTGCTTTGGGGTATAAAGCGGAATAGAGGCACTTTCAGGAATTGTTTAAATATGCCTCTTGGTTTTTATTACCACACTACTAGATGTCTGTTGGATTTTGTTCAGAGCTGCCTTTTGCACTTGGGATTTCAGACACTGTGCAATAAAACCTTGCCAGTTTCCCGGGAATGAATTATAGGAGAGCCAGCCTACTTAAGGGAGAAGTCTGGATTAAAGAGTGACTCCATACATTATTAATGATCGTATGGCTTCGCATGCGATAGCACACTTCCCTCTGTTCAGATCTGTGATCCGCTTTAATACTCAAGGGTGGTAGAGGTAAAGCAGATAGGATTATCTTCATTTTTCAGATGAAAAAATTGAGATTCAGAGTTCAAGTGACTTGGCAAAGTCACACATGTGCTATTTTACATAAAGCTATGCAAGAATGGAGTGAAGGGGTAACCAAATATTTCTAGGCAGAAGGTGATCCACAGGACAGATTTAATGTATTAATTGAGTTGTTTCTCATTTGCAGCATCCATTGGCTTAAAATTCATGGTCTAAAATCTTTGAAAGAGGTTTGTTCTTAAACACCTGTTTACATGTTGTTTACAGTCTTCGTTTTTCTGAGCAAGTCTTATCTGTAGAGATTCTGTAGCTGGATGGAATTAACATGGATTCTGATTTTGCAGACATGGAAATAATGATGGGGATTTGAGTTAACTCTTGTTTATTAATTAGAAAGCTAAGTTTGGTCCCATCATTGTACTTTGCTGCCTGTCATCTCTTAAATCCATGGTTAGAGTCACACTTCACTAGAAATATGACTGCAAATCTGTTTCCTCTTTGCAGCCTGTGCAAGGCTTTGATTATGCCAAGCAACACCTGGGCCAGCAAGGGGCAGATGAGGAGGTCATCCCTGTGACTCAGGAGACGGTGGTCCTCCCACTGCCCATTAGAGATGCTCCTCAGGAAAGAGACGTCGCTCAGGATGGAAGCACCATCAAGACTGCCAAATCCACTGAAACCAGGAAGAGGTAGGCATGGGGCTGCCTTCTGCCTCTCTGTGTCAGCAAGAGAAATAATTGATGATGAGAAAAGCTGATGCCCTAAAGTTAATTGCACGGTTCTCTTTAAAAATTCCCCTTCATGCTGATTTTGAATATTTGAAAAGATACTAAAGGAGATGATGAGAATCACAATACCTGCTTAGCCTGGGCCACCCTTTGTAAGGTTTTATGTCGCTGATAACCACAACATCAGAGATTTAGTTCTTATATTTACTATAGCAAATTTAGCACTGATGTCACACTTACATTTTAAACTTACATTAAGAGCAGTGCCTTTGATTCAGTATAGCTGTATTTTATCTGGCAGTTTCTCAATAGGGGTTTCTGATTTCAGCCAAAACCATATATTTAGTTTATATTATAAAGCAGAGCACTTTGACAGACATCCCTTTAGGACTACAAAAATGTGTAAGATTGTTTGTGACCCCAGGAGTCTCATGATGGAGGAGGCAGAGAGATAAATAACTGGAATACCGAGCATGAGGTTCGGTGCCTGTACTGGAGACTGCAGGGCTGTAGCAAAGACAGGAGGAAGAACTTAATTCTGAACAGGGAAAACCTCGTGGAGAAGGTTATCCTTTAGCTGAGCCTTGAAAAGTGAGTGGGATCTGAATAGTTGGGAAGATATAAGGGCATCTAGTCTAAAAAGAGTGAGGAGAGAAGAGGCACATGTATGTCCTCTAAACGGTGAGTGTCCCCAGAGTTTAGAGTTCATAGTGGCTGGGTGTAATGAAGAATGAAACCAGAAGATAGATTAAAATTTTGGAAAGTCTTGACTGCCTGGCTAAGGCATTTGACCTTTATTATCTAGGCAATGGGGAGCCACTGAAAGGTCTTTCAGAAGACAGCAATGTTAACCTATATGTTAGAAGGATACTTTGATGGCAGTGTGGATGAGGGATGGGAGAGGTTAGTTTAGAAGCCAAGAGACTCACTGTAAGGATAGCCTTATAGAGATAATGAACCCTATGGCAGGCCCTGTTGGCTGGCTAAACCGACATGCATTGCCAACTCCCTTCTTCCTTGTTTCCTGAGACCACGGTAGAGACTGAAAAAGCTACATCATCCATGTCTCCTTCCTTTGTCCCCTCCCTTTACCTAACATGTGTATTGATCATTTGCTGTTTATCAGGCACTGGGGATATTGCTGTGAACAAGACAAAGTTACTGTTCTTGGGCAGCTTACAATCTGGTGAGGAGAGATAGATAATAAACAAATAGAGAAACAGGTAAAATCTATCTATTTCTGGATCAGGTGGTGATGAGTACAAAGAAGAAAACTAAAGCATAGTTAAGGGATAGAGAAATGGAGAAGGAGACATAGTGCTATTTTAGCTAGGAAACTAAGGAAGACTTCTTTGATAAAGTGACATTTGAGAAAGACCTGATTGAAATGAGGTATAAACCACAAGGTTATCTGCAGGAGGAATGTACCAAGCAGATGAAACAGTATGTGCATCGCCCAGAGGAGGGAACATCTTGACATGCTTAAGGAAAAGCGGGATCAAGGGGGCTGGCATGAACTAGGGAGGAAGTGATGGCAGATGAGGCCGGCAAGTTGCTGGAGGTTGATTATGTCAGGCTTTACAGACCAAAGTCAAGACTTGGGATTTTATTGTGAATAAAGATCAGATGTCATTGGGGGGTTTTGAGAAAAGCAGTGACATGATGTGACTTGCAGTTTTAAAGGCTCACTTTGGGCTGGGTACATGGCTCACACCTGTAATCCCAGCACTTTGAGAGGCCAAGGCAGGAGGATCACTTGAAGCCAGGAGTTTGAGACCAACCTGGGCAACCAAGCAAGACCTCATCTCTACAAAATAAAATTATATAAAAAATATTAGCCAGGTGCAGTGGTGTGTACCTGTAGTTCCAGCTGCTGGGGAGGCTGAGGTGAGAGGATGGCTTGAGTGCAGGAATTCAAGGCTGCAGGGAGCTGTGATTGTGCCACTGCACTCCAGCCTGGATGACAGAGCAAGGCCTTGTCTCAAAATAAAATAAAATTAAAATAAATACAACAGGCTCAGTTTGGCTACTGTGTGGCAAACAGATTGTAGGGATGCAAAGTAGACTCAGGGAGACCCTTTACAAGGCTACCACCATGACCTAGGTAAGAGACAATGGTGTCATCGGAAGGTGTGAGAGGTGGTTGGAGTTTAGAGATATTTTGAAGGAAGAGCTGAAAAGATTTGCTGATAGATTCTTGTGGAGTGACAGAAGTGGAGAGGAGTAAATTTGCCATATATTGTGCTGGCGGATACTGGAGGAGAAGTAGTTTGTAGGGGATGGTCAAGAGTTTGAGTGTGGACATGTTACATTTGAGATGCTCATTAGATATATGAGTGGAGATGTTGAGAACTCAGTTAACCTTGAGTCTGGAGTTTAGAGGAGAGGTCCAGGGTAGAAATATAAATGTAGGAGTTGTCAGTGTGTAATTACTCTGTGAGACTGGGAGGGATCACCTAGGAGAGTACAGATAGAGAAAAGAAAAGATCCAGGAACTGAACCCTGGAACATTGTCATGATTAGAGGTCCAGCAGATGAGGAAGAATCAACAAAGAAAAAGGAATAGTGTCAGGAAGAAGGGCATGAGAAGAATCAGAAGAACAAAGAGAGTAAGATCCAAAAAGCCAAGAGAAGGAAGTAATTTGAGAAGGAAGGAGGGATCATCTGTATCAATTACCCACATTTTGTACTGGAATCAAGCAACAAGACTGTGTATTTTCTTCCAAGAACCCTTGGTACCTCAGAAAGAGGTACAGAGGAACAGAGGGTTGAATTTCAGCTTGTGTAGGAAAGAATGTTGGGGCATGTGGATTAGTTATCTATTGCTCCATAACAAACCACTCCAAAGCTTAATAACTTAAAACAACAATTTTTTTAGCTCATTATTTTGGTGGGTCAGCACATTGGGCTGAGCTCAGCTGGATGGTTCTTCTTGTCTGAGCTAGGCTTGGCTGACCTTAGCTGCACCTGCTTATACATCTCCAGTCAGGTGACAGATCAGCTGGGCTGACTTGTTGATACTGATCTTACCAGGAATACCCCAGGTAGCAAGGGCCTTTGTCCATGTGGTTTCTCATCCTCTAGCAGGCTAGTCCTGGCTTTCTCACAATGTGGTTGCAGGGCAGCAAGGAAAAAAAGCAAAAAACAACAACAAAAAAACACCCAAAGCATAAGCATTTCTCAAATCTTTGCTTGTGTCATGGTTGCTACTGTCCTGTTGGATAAAGCAAGTCTCAAGGTCGAGTCCAGACTCAGCATGAGAGAAGAGTACCCAAAGCTTATTGACAGAGATGTATGAACAAGTTAGGACCATTACTATAATCATGCACCCAACATGAGAGAGCATAAGCAGAGCAGAGCCGAAATGTACAGAGAGGCAATAGATGATTTACCTGAATTGACTTGCAAGTAGTATTACCTACAGCTATTATTCTCATCATGATCTTTGCCAAATACAACAAAGGCTTATTAATAACTTATTTATCACCTATTTAGAGGACACTGAAAAGAAATAAATAGTGTTACTAAAATTAGGATATGAACATAGTACTTTCAGGAAGAATAAAAATTATTTTTCACCCATTCTAGTTGAATAATTTAAATTGCGTAAAGTTTCCTTTAATTTTTTTTTAGAATAAGCACTTCTTGGATTAGCCAGGAATCTACTCTTGCTAATCACATTCAATTACCCCCAAATTTTTAATAAGAAATATTAACTGAGGAAACAAATACAGATGAAGAAGATAATATGTATATTCCTGAAGGATTTCTATATTTGCTTCGTAATTTTTTCTTTTTCGAGACAGGGGCTTATTCTGTTGCCCAGGCTGGAGTGCAGTGGGCAGATCTTAGCTAACTGCAACCTCTGCCTCCCGGGTTCAAGCAATTCCCCTGCCTCAGCCTCCTGAGTAGCTGGGATTACAGGCGTGTGCCACCATGCCTGGCTAATTTTTGTATTTTTTTGGTAGAGATGGAGTTTCACCATGTTGGCCAGGCTGGTCTCAAAGTCCTGACCTCAAGTGATCTACCCACCTTGACCTCCCAAAGCGCTGGGATTACAGGCATGAGCCACCATGCCCAGCCACTTTCATAATTTTAGCATAAAAATATAATTTTACTAAGGGCTGGTTAGATCATTGCCAAAGCTGTAAGAGAAACTTCCTCTCTGTTGAAGTCCAGCGGACCACGGGAGCCTCTGATCATTTGAAAGATTTTCAAAACATCAAATTCAAGAGAAAACCCATTATGAATCCTATGTTTCTGGCTTCCCCATCTTGCCACATCATTTTTCTCATTCCTGCTAGATAAAGACAGCCTTCCCTCTCAGAATGGGTCTGTTAGATGATCCAAGAAGTTTCCCAAGTGAAAACCAGGAGAAACCGGTGGTTTGATGGTTATTAAGATACCTCAATTTTTATTAATTATTTTAACACTGGACTCTGAGGGTTCAGTCACTTCCAGACAGCCAGATGGGTGTTCTGGGTCCTTTTCCTCCAGTGTAGGGTCTTGGTGAGGCTATTTTATTGGTGCATGACTGAGATTGTTGGGCCAGGATGGAGAATAAACCACTTACAGCTGTTTGCAAAGGGCAGTTCAGTGTAGTGATTGGCCATGATTCATGCCATGTTCAGCAGTTGATTCATCCTCAACCCGAGAATGTTCTTCCAGGCTCCATGTCCTCAGAATGGGTACTGTTGCATTCAGTAGCCTCAAACTGCAGCCTCGCAGGTGACACTTTCTTGCTTTCAAAAACTTTTGTTACTGTCATGTGAGTAGACACGCATGCACAAACACACATGCACAAATCTCTATTTTTGAACAGAAGTTTTGACTTGATGACTCTGTGTAAACATGTCTATAAACAGAAGCAAAGAGTAAAGCAGAGTCGGGTTTTGCTACAGAAATTTGCTCATTAACACCTTTCCATGGAGTGAGAGGAGCAGCCAGAAAATTGTTTCAGGATCAAATGAGGGAAAGGGTATGAAAATGCTACAAAAACCATTCAGGCCAGGCTCGGTGGCTCATGCCTGTAATCCCAGCACTTTGGGAGGCCAAGGCAGATGCATCACTTGGGGTCAGGAGTTTGAGACCAGCCTGGGTAACATGTTGAAACCCCAGCTCTACTAAAAATACAAAAAAAAAAATAGCCTGGCATGGCAGCGGGCACTTGTAATCCCAGCTACTCTGATGACTGAGGCAGGAGAATCGCTCAAACTCGGGAGACGGAGGTTGCAGTGAGCCGAGATTATACCACTGCACCCCAGGCTGGGTGACAGATCAAGACTCTAAAAAAATCAATCAATCAATCAGTATTTTGTGAATGTGAAGTAGGTTATAAAAAGCCTTTCCCTTTCCTATTTTTTTTTTCTGGATGTAAATTAAAGCCTTTTGTCCCAATTGTCCTAATGCCGCCAGTTGGGAGAGTAGGTGCCATTCACCAGGAGAGTCCAGAAACAATCTAGGGGTGTGTGTCTTTTGTGTATGGGTGTTTGCACAGCCAGCACTCAGCAATCAAATAGCTGTTGGGTAAATAACATATACTCAACAAGTTAGTACCTATCCTTGTTTTCACAGACTACATTCTTTTATTACTCATTTTATATGATGTTAAAAGGTTAGGTGAGAAAGATTGTGATCGAATAAATTTGGAAATGTTGGGTTAAACGAAACCAGATGAATCTCTCTGTGACAGAACTGATCAGTCTTTGATATGCTAAGGTGCATTAGGAATCTCCAAAGAAGGAATATAGTGAGCATTTCCTACATTTAGGGAACTTTGGCGAGGAATGTCCCACTTGGCTTTAGTGTGCCGCGGAATGCTCTTGGCAGATACTGCCTTATCCCATAGATATCTCGACTTTGATTGTTCATGGCTTTTAGGGTGCCAAAGTGTACAGACTGAGAACTCGAAATTCCCAGGGGAGGCAGAGAGGAGAAGGGAGGAGGAGGGAGAAGGGAGGAGGAGGCAGAGGAGCATCCGGAAGGATACACAGCTTCCAGTTGAGAAGCTGCTCGCCTACTGATGAAGTGCATTTATTCCAGACAGTTCTCCATTGTCAGGGATAGGTGTCCTTATTTTCTAAATTTGGACGATTGACAATAGAAGAACAAGAGGCCCCTAGACACCTGCCTCCCGCTTGTTTCCCACAGAGGGGAGACGATCAGTCTTTATGCTCAGCCAGACCCACGGGCTGGCATGGTCTGAGGCCAGAGGCAGCGTGAGTCTCAGTGGGGGCTCTCCGGATCCCATTCCCCCACAGAGTTCCAGAAGATGAGAGTCCCCACCCTGAGGAGGGAAAGAAGGCTGAGTGACTCGCCCTGTGTGAAGGGCTGCCTTATCTGGGGTCATTGTATGGGAGAGCAAAGGGAAGGTGTTCTAGGGTGTGGGAGGAGGGGGAGCCCTGGCTTCCAGGGCTGATTTGCCGCTTCTCAGCTCTGTCCTGGACAACACACTTCACTTCCATGAGCTTCATGTTCCTCACTTGCTAAACAAGGGTGGCAGTCACCAAATCAGTGGCTCATAATGATCCATTAGCAGTTTTAAAAGCTCTCAGCAAAATCCTTGGTACACAGTAGGTGACCCTGGTGGGGAGCTATTGGAGGGCATGGGGTGCTATCTTAGAGTCTCCACATACCTGTATGTCTGGCACAGAGTGGATGAATGAAACGTATTTCCTGAATGAACAAATAGCTCAAAATCAAAATGTAAGTGGGTAGTAGTTGCCACAGTTAGAGAGAGAGAGTATGTTTGTGTGTGTGTGAGAGAGAGACTGACAGAGTGAAGCCCCTAGTGATGGGGTATTATGCAAAGAATAAGGCATAGTTGAGTTTTTGCTATGGAAATTTGCTTATTGATGCCTTTCCTTGGAATGAGAAGAGCAGCCTGAAAACTGAAAATTGGAAACGGAATGTTTTGTAGTCAAAGTCTATGTAGTAAAGACAATAGCCAAAGAGAACCATGTGTGATACATGTCCCTGGAAATGCCCATGTAATTTAAACCCTCTGCAACACTATCCAGAGTGCTGGGTATTAAAAAGAGGGCATGCTGCATGGATGCCACCCTTGCCACCATTCCCATGGTCACGGCGGGGTGGTGGTTAATGAAACAGAGATGGACACCCAGGGCAGCGCTCACTGAACTCTACAGGCTGAGCACTGCAAAATGGACTTCTGAGCAGCCAGCTTCTTAACCCACGCTGTAGTATGGGTGGTTTTGTTTTTTTCTTTTTCTGTATCGTTTCTTCTTTGTCCATTAAACTGGAATGAAAGGCTACAGACATTAAACTGTGCAAATAAAATAACCTTGAGAGGCGGCTGCTCTAGTTGAAACTTACCGTCTCCCCTGTTGCTATGGTTACCTCCAGCAGGTCGCCCAGTGAGAATGGCTCTGTCATCAGCAACGAATCAGGAAAGCCCAGCTCAGGGAGACGCTCACCCCAGAATGTAATGGCACAGCAGAAAGTGACAAAGGAGGAGGCAAGGAAGAGAAATGGTGAGAAGCCTTCCCGCCAAGAACCACCCCCAGCCACTCCCACGCGTGCCTGCACACACATGCATGCACATGTGTGCGCACACTCACACAGCCACTGGGCTCTGACCCTCAGTCGTTCTTTCTATTCTGCCCCACAAGGGCCAGGAGTCTATATGTACCCCTTGGATTTTCACCTTACCCCTTCTCTGAATTATCCTGTCTCACTTCCTCTGCCCCTGTTCTTGTGAAATTGTGCAGTTCCTTAGGAAAAACTTTTTACAGAATGAATTGATGTTTGCTTAGAGGTTTTTCTAATTCTCTAGTTAGAAATCCTCTTTAAAAATTTACAATTTCTAATCACGTGAATTGATGCAATTTCTTGCATCAGGTCCACTAAGGCAGCAGATCTCTGAAATAATTGCTCATCTTGGAGATTCCTCTCATTTTCCTGCCCTGACTCCCCTGATAAGTTTCATGGGTTCATTCTGTGCCACTGAGTCCAGATATTGCAACTCCACTTCTCCCAGGAAAAAACTAACCCAAAGCAATAAAGAAACAGATCTGTCATCATAAAAAGAAGAAAAAAAAAAAGCTTTACACTTCTGTCTTAATTCTCCAGGGAAGCTAAACTACTTAGTTTCTCACACAGATCTCTCCTTTCCTGTAAGGATTGACGTTGGGGTTTATTTATCAGTCATCTGAGCACCATAGCTGTGGAGTGGCATTGTCCATAGATGGCCTCTGTCAACATCATTGTGCGGCTCCCTCTCCTGTTCCCACCTTGGTTCTGACTCTCATCTCCATGTGGCCCTTCTGTGTGTGATACTGGGTTACTGGGGCCAGAATTCAAGTACCCAGCACTACTGATTTCAGATCAGGGAAAAGTCCTTTTGGACTTTAATGGGTTGTAGGTGGAGCCTTACAGAAATGCCAGGTGAAAAGCTAAACCCTCTGGCACCCTGCTTATCTGCACTTCCCTTTCAAAGGAATTTGTGTAGTTCAGGGACTCTCTCTTGAAGCTAGTGTTGGAATTTTTTTTGTTTTCAAATGTCACTTTTATTTCTTTTTTTTTTTCCCCTAACTGAAAAAGTAAGAGCAGAGGAAAAAAAAAAAGAAATAATGATACAGTGGATTTGTATTCTGTAGGGGAAATGTGCTCCCTGTTCCCATTTTCAGCTATTATATAAAGCACTTGTTTAAACTGTCATACCTATTTGGTTGTTGAAATTTTTTCTTTCCCTGAATTCTGCATGCGTGTAACACAGAGGCTGTGCTTTCTACATCAGAATTGGGGTGTGACCTGTGGAATTTTCCTGAAATATCTGCCCCACCTGGGACCACTAGACATCCTGCCATCAGCTCTGTCGAGTGAGCACGCAGTCAGAGGTGCTCTAGATCTTGGAAAGGGAGCTTGAATTCAGCAACTTTCTTCTCTTTCTTCCTAGGATGAGGTGCTAAGAGAGATGGGTAGAGAGAGTGAGGGGACAGCAGAGACAATGAACAGTGAAGCCATATGGGGAAGGTTGTTTTAACTAAATATTGTGATGGCCATCGCAACCTATCCAAGATGGTGCTGCCTGCCCTCCCAGCTCCGCCTCCTCCCTCTCCTCCTGCCCTTTCCTTCCTTCCTTTCTTTATATACTTCCTGGAAATTTACAAGGTCAAATCAGACTACTCACTCCTCCAGATGCCCCACCCACCCACCCCACTCCTCAGAGGACCCCAAATAACTCAATGTGTGTCTTTCTCTGACCTTTTTACTATGCATATGGCAACACACATGTATCTTTGTTTTTTGTTGTATTGCTTTGTTTTGTTTTATTAAATGGAATCAATGTGTGTATTGTTCTATGCCCTTTTTCTTGCTTTAAACTGTGCCATACAAGGCTGCTTTCTTTATGAATACACATTTGCAAAGTGATGTCTTTCCCCTTCCCTGCAAATAATGCATAGAAGATGAGAGAGTGGGGCTGGTTCCTGACCCCAACACTCCCCACTTAGCTGGTGAGATTCTGGCCCGCTCTAGATGTCCCTGCTGACCTTGCCCATTTCCATTTCTGCTTGTCTACCCTCTCTGCCTGCCTCTTTATTCTATTTAGGTCACTTTGATTATTTAAATATAAGGCTCAGAAATAAAACAGGTGGGTGCATGAATGAAACGCAATTACTATGCCAGGTTGAGGTTTTTGCTTGTTTGCTCTATTAAAAAGCCATCCTTCCCAGGGTTAGAGTGCTTGCTTGGTTGCGTTTTATTTTTGCCTAAAGTAAATCCAGTGAATTTGGGGGTCTGGTTGCTTCTGTTTCACTGTAGGTTTCTATTCTGTAAGGTTTTAGGTTTGAAATTTTCCAATAGAAACAATAGAACCAACTTGTCTCATGTAAAACTCAACAGACATCAGAATTTTAGGATAGACCCTTATGAAAACCTACACTTGTTCTTTTTATCAGAGGGTTCCATTTTATCATAATCCTAGGTTAGAGTTTACCAATAAAATCAATAGTGTATTTTATTGCATTGGAAGATGAACCAAAGGAAGGAAGGAAGAAAATAACATTGAATGGAACTGTGGAATTGTGGAGGAAAAAAAATGTCTATTTTCATCACTTTGCCAGCTTGCAAAAAGTATTGGGTCATTCTGGCTCAGGGTCTCATGAGGTCATAGTCAAGATGTTGGCCTGAGCTGTCACCTAAAGTCTTAACTGGCAAAAACCAATAGATGTGGGCATGGACATGGTGAAAAGGGGAGGCTTATACACTGCTGGTGAGAATGTAAATCAGTACAACCCCTGTGGAAAACAGTACAGAGATTCCTTAAAGAACTAAAAGTAGATCTACTATTTTATCCAGCAATCAATCCCACTCCTGGGTATCTACCCAAATGAAAAGAAGTATTATATGAAAAAAGACACTTGCACATGCGAGTTTATAGCAGCACAAGTCACAATCACAAAGATAGGGAACCAACCAAGTGCCCATCGACCAATGAGTGGATAAAGAAAATGTGGTATAAATAACTCATGGAATACACTACTCAACCATAAGAAGGAATGAAATAATGTCTTTTTCAGCAACTTGGATGGAGCTGGAGGCCGTAATTCTAAGTGAAGTAACTCAGGAATGGAAAACCAAATACTATATATTCTCACTCATAAGTGGGAGCTAAGCTATGAGGACACAAAGACACAGCGAGTGATATAATGGACTTTGGGGACAGAGGAGTGGGTGAGAGGGGGGTGAGGGATAAAAGACTACATATTGGGTGCAGTGTACACTACTTAGGTGATGGGTACACTAAAATCTCAGAATTTACCACTATAGAATTCATCTTTGTAACCAAAAATCCCTTGTACCACAAAAGCTATTGAAGTTTAAAAAAGAGAAAAATGAAAATAAAAAATACAGTCTTGATGGCGGCTTGCAGGATGGTCAGTCATGGCTCTTGACAGGGGACTTCAGATCCTTGCCGCATGGACCTTTCCATAGGACTGCTTCAGGGTCCTCAGAATGTGGCAGCTGGCTTTCTTTAGAGTAAGTGATCCGAGAGAGCAAGGTGGAAGCCATGATTGACTGATTGATTGATTGATTTTTACGACTAAGCCTTGGAAGTTACACATTGTCATTTCTGCAGTTTCCTATTGGTTACACAGGTCAGTCCTATTCATCCTGGGTATGAATATCAGGAGGTGAGAATTCTTAGGAGCCACCTTATTGGCTGGCTCTCGTAGATGGCTTGTAATAGCAAGTGTCCAGGTGGCAGATAATGGTGGCCAGGCCAGAGCTGCCCAGCAAAACTATACTCTAAAAATATAGATGCATCTGGTAACACATTCAAATAGAGATTTTCCTCTGTCATTGGCTGCTTGGTGGCCTGCTATTTGCAAATCAGCCCACAGAACTTAAAAAAAAATCCAATTATAACCCATTGTTACACTCTGAAGTGTTTTAGCCACTTTGTAAAAATAACAATTTACTTGGCTTAATTTGACAAATCTTCTGTGATTATGATAAGTGACGGAATGATACAAACTATGTGTTTCTCAATAATTTAAATAACATCCCAGTCTCTTGAGCAGACAGGAGGAAAGATGAATACACTGCTATTACATTCATATTTTATGTAACACCTCTTTTGCTCCTAAATTGTATACTGGTTTAGTCATTTGAATAGGCTTAATGTATCTCTTGCCTAGCCATGCTCAATAAGCTGTCATTCTTATAGTTACTTAATGGGAATATGCTTTAAGAACAAGTAAATCAGCAAGAAACCAGGAGCTCTGGAACTTCCGTCAGCTTAGTTATGGAAGCTCAAGGCAGACTGGTGTCTTTTAGCAATTGCAGCAGAATTATCTGTCAGGAGGGAGGATTAATTTAACAGAGCATAGGTAGAAATGCTTCTACTTAATTAGGGGAGTTGTCTGTAGCTTTAAATTAGTTTCTCTGGCGGAATTTTCATAGCTTTCTTTTATTTTAGACAAATAGAAGAAACCAAAACCCAAATCACTGGGGAAGCAACCTTCAGAAGGGGGGAAAAAAACAATGTGTCAGCCACTATAACTGTGGCTTGTTGACCAAGGAAGACTTGTTACTTTAACATCTTGTAAAGATTGGTAGCATTGGTGGCTGAACCTGAACTGAATGCTGTTAGTCTGAGGATTGTCAAATTTAAAGGGTAGTTACAAGGTTTAGCCAAACTCACTTTTCTCACTTCTAACTGAAACATAGAGAAAGACGTTACTTTTTAATTTTTTTTCAACTGTGTTATGTCATAGTTTTGAAAGAATGGTCCTTACTGTTTAAATTCAAATCTCTACAGTTCTTTCCTACCCATTGATAAGGCAACGGAGGGATAAATCATACAGATCTTAAATTTAAGGGAAAACTGCTAGCAATAGCGAGCGCTTGTTGGCACAGAAGCAGATGCTGTCATTTCTGAGGTTGTTTTGAGTAAAGTAATGTCCTTCGGCTGTGAGTCTCACATAAATTCTCCTGGGATCACACAGCCCCCCTACATCAGAAAATCGATGTGTTTATGTTGTGCTTCAGTGCCGGCGAGTGATGAAGAGGGGGGAGCAGTTCTATTTGACAACTCCAGCAAGGTGGCCGCTGAACCCTTTGACACATCTTCTGGGTCTGTGCAGCTCATTGCCATAAAACCCACAGCCCTCCCCGTGGTGCCCCCCACCTCGGACAGGAGCCAGGAGTCATCGGCAGTCCTCAACGGCGAGGTGAGTGCCTGGGGACCCAGAGCAGGAGATGGTCTGCTCAGACTTGGGAAATTCGGACGAAGGAACAACACCTGTGAATACTGGGTGCAGATTGCACCTAGGGCCATATAGGTCATCTTTACCTCCGCATGTACCAGACCTCTGCAGAATGAATCAGGACACAGGTCACCCAAAATGAGTTTGTTGGGTGATGTTTTCAGAGCACTTCCTGTGTTCATTAAAATCCCAGGGGAACTTTTAAAAAAAACGTGATTATGAAAAGAAGCATCAGGCGTTCCACTCCGCGACCGCCTCACACACACAGCCTTTTGCCTTTCTTGGTAACACTCCTAAACTGTCCATTGTGGGATGTTGCTTGTAGTGGGGATAGAAGGGGCTTGAACTGAGAGGGAACCAGGGAAGATAATGTCATATGGACAGGGATGTGGGCCACTCTATGGACTTCGAAATGACGTTTATTCCTTTGAGCAAACTTGAAACAACTCATTGGCTGCTTCCAGAAAGCTATCAATGGATATCATGATGCTAATCAACTTTCCTAAGAGTCTGAAAAAAAAATTGTAACATTCACCGTAGAGTGATGATTTCATCAAAGAAAATTAGATAGATAGATAGATGCCAGAAGTTAGGTAAAAATTATCTGCGTTTCCTTCATCTTCGGCAGCAGAGTGGCCAGTGGACTGAAAATGTTTATGAACTTTAAGAAGATGCGTTTGGACCCTACAAGTGAACATTCAAATTACATGTGTGCCCAAGCATGTGCACACACATGCTCTTAATTTTTCTCTGTTCTTAAGCTGTCAGGTTGGTTGTTCATTTCATTTATTTATACCCAGCTATTGTTACCTGAAACAGGTGGGAGATTTCCAAAGTTTTAAAGTCTTTTTCCCACCACACATCAAGGAACATGTTATGGCCCTATAAAGCCAGGTATTGTAAATATGCAGCATCTGGGCCCCTTATAAAAGCATTTTACAGACCCGACTCAGAAAGCAACTCTTGTTTTCTGGGCAGAAAGACTCAGATGACCTAAAGATGTGATGGGTAAACCTTCATCGATTTAAAAAAAATAACTGGTTGTGGACATACAGAGCACTTCTTTTTCAACCTCTTCATTTTTTTAGACCAAGAAGCTGAAGCTTGAGGGGTCAAGTGGGTTGCTCAAAGTCACACGGCAGGTTATGGTGACAGCCATGAGGTGGAGGTCCCCTGACTTCCTGTCCAGTGCTCCTTTCCTCTCTTTGACTTACTACAGGCTATCAGAGAATAATAGCATTGTGCTTAAAAGAATATGGATTCTCAAGCCATGCCTCAGGGGTTTAAACCTCAGATCTTTTACTTACTGTGTGTCCTTGAGCACGTTAGTTCATTTCTCTGTGCCTCAGTATCTCCATTTATAAAATAGGGCTGCTGTGAAGATCAAATTGTTTAATATATGTAACGTACTTAGAGTAGTGCCTAGCACACAATAAGCACTTTTATGATAATTATTTTTACTATTGTTGTTATCACCACCCATTAGACAGCCAATGAAGAAAGATCATGTACTTTATGCCCCTCGGCTCTACAATTTGAGAATCTGGATGTCTTCTCAAAACCAGTCACAGCCACTGAATTTTCTCTTGGGCACAATTCTGCCACCAGACATGCAAACCCCATAATTAGAGGCCTCTGAGGTTGACACTAATGCATTGATAACTGCTGTTGATTTGGACCCTCTGCTCAGCTATGGACACATGTGATGGCCACCAGGCCTGGATCTTTTCATCCCAGCTTAATGATATGAATGTCATAGAGACAGATTCCAAATCTGGGATAGATTCAACTTATCACCCCCTTTTCCTCCCAAGCCCATCACCGTGTCAAAGAAGGAGAGCAAATCAGCATCTTCCTTGTCCAGAAATTGATGCTGTATTTTGGTAGTTAAAGGAATGGACCTTGCTGGCATTTGGATTGGAAGAGAGCCCTGAACTGTTCTCTATAATTTGCTGCCTTGTGGAGCCTGACACAGATTGTCTTGTAATTTTCTTCCTCCTTCTATTATGGGTGGCTGGTTTAAATGAGGAAAGCACAACCCAGAAACCATACATTTTTCTTTTGTAAATTACATGACATTCTTTTAAAGATTATTTTTAAGAAAACAGGAAGTTTGGAAATGTTGATGTGACTTTCTCATCATTTGTTATTTATTTAGCACAGTCACTTGCTTATATCTCCAACAGGTTGCAAGGTACATTAGCCACGTTCCCTTCTGAAAGACCAGACTGCCTTTGCCCTATAGGGTAGGACCTGGTTGGTGTTAGTAGCCATACAAGGCTTCAAAATTACCTATCTCTCAAGAAAGGCATGGATTAAAAAAACATGCTGTCGGATGCAGGTTGACAGTGTGGAAAGGCGTTGGGAGCGGCCCCTTCCACCCTGTCTGTCCCAACTCAGCCTCTTCAGGAACTTGCCGTCTTATCCTGGACACCAGCTGAAGGGCAGCAAAGGCCACTGGGTTCCCCAGGACTGGAGCTAGACTCAGGGCACTGAGAACTGGCAGAGGCACCCACACAGAGGGACCAAAAGGGTGTAGGCATAATTAAGGCCAAGCCACATTGCTGAGAGCATGGAGTCAGGCCTAGGCCTGAACAGAGACAGGACAAACCAAGGAGAAGAAAGCCTTGGAGGAAGGTCTCAGGTGATTCAGGTGAGTGCCAGGCTCCACATTATCTGTAGTCTACTGTTGTGGGCTTGCTCAGAATGGGACGCAGGTGGGTCTGGCTAGCTCGGAGGCCCAGAGGTGATGCCTGTGATGGGTTTCTAGAAGTGATAACCTCCTGGTGAAAGTCTCCCACCTGCTGGCCTCACTGGGTCAGGTGTGGGCCTGAGACTGTCTCTCTCCCCAGGTGAACAAAGCCCTGAAGCAGAAGTCAGACATCGAGCACTATCGGAACAAGCTGCGCCTCAAAGCCAAGAGGAAGGGATATTACGACTTCCCTGCAGTGGAGACGAGCAAGGGTCTGACCGAAAGAAAAAAGATGTATGAAAAAGCCCCAAAGGAAATGGAGCATGTTTTGGATCCAGATTCAGAACTCTGTGCTCCATTCACCGAGTCTAAAAACAGGTGCAGTCTCGAAGGGATTCTGTAAAGGGTGCTGTATCATTGGTGGGATAAGGGCAGGCCTTGGGCAGTATATCCTGGTCCCTTATCTGGTACTGTAGGATTGTGATCTTTGCAGTCCACTGATCTGTACCACACTGGTCTGTGCAAGCAGGTGCTCTATAATGAGTCTGAAGGAGAATAACATTAAAGCCATTAAAAAAAAAAAAAACACTTGGGCAAACAACCATAATTGTCCTTTAGCTTAGTGATATTTTCAAACCAGTTGCTTTTTCAGAGCTGAATGAAGATTATAATTATCACCTACCTAATGGTGCAACTTCCAGATCAAGGGACATTGTATTGCTCAATTGTTTTAGAGGCTCTTGCATAAGAAAAGCAAATTTCGTGCCTTACCTTTTCATTCAGCCTCAGTAAGTACTTACTGCACAGGTGCTCAGAGCTCCATGCTGGTTTATCTCATTCATTCACAGACTTGTTCATTTATTCAACGTATATGTATTAGGTACCATTCAAGATGCTGAATGCTGTCATGCTCATGTGGGCTTATTCATTCATTCAGTTTGAATTCCTTCAACATTTAATTGTGGACAAGACAGTCCTATTGCTGCTCTTATGGAACTTAGGGTCTAATGGGAGAGAAAGAATCACCCCAAAAGTTTATTAATGACAAGTGTGGTGGGTGTTTGAAGTGTGAGGTGCTGTAACGATCTAAAAGGGAGTCCTGTCCCAGCGAGGAAGGGCTAAGCCAGATGGTTTAAATTAGCATCTGCCTTAGTTCTTTCTGTGCTGCTATAACAGAATACCTGAGACTGGGTAATTTATAATGAACAGAAACATATTTTCTCACAGTTCTAGAGGCTGGGAAGTCCAAGATCAAGGTGCCAGCATCTGGCAAGGGCCTCCTTGCTGCATCATCCCATGGCAGAAGGCAGAGGGCAAAGAAAGAGCAAGAGCAGGCCAAATTCATCCTTTTATAACAGTACCAATTCCACCCATGAGGAGGAGCCCTCCTGGCCCTGTCACCTCCCAAATGTCCCACCTCCTGACACCACCATGGCAGGAACCACATTTCAACATGAGGTTTGGAGGGGAAAAACATTCAGACCATGGCTGCAGCCTTCCAAGGTTTGTTGCTGACTAAGCAGAGTGATTTCACATGCTGGGTCAGAGGCAGAGGTTAGTGAACCCAAACATGTCCACCTTTCTTCCTTTCCTACCTACCTGAAGCGCTTTCATAATTTGAGGCCGCCTCTTTCCAATACATAGTCTCCTTGGTGACTCCCCTCTGGCTTTGAGCATGCCACCGCCCTGACATGCCACAGAGCCATGATAGACACATTGTCCACAGATTGGGAGCCATAGGGCAGTTTCTGGCCTGAGTAGGTACTTATTAAAAGCAAAAATGACTCTGTGACAGGCTTGGATCAAAGCCACAGAGTCAAGCTGGGAGGTGGGGCTAAATTTTATGAATTGGATCAACATAATTTATTTTCAATAAAGAAAAGAGGGAATCCTCAACCAGTGCTTAATTTACCATGCTTCTAATTAGGCTTGGTTGGTATGACAAGCTATTGATATAAAATCACACCATGACAGGGTTCACAATGCCTGTGTCACTGTGTTAATACCTGTAGAAAAAAAAAGAAAAAAGATGGGGGTTTTATAGGGAGGCTGATTGGTTCTTTAGCTTTTATTTTGTGCTTCAGGGGGTTTTACTTCAGTGGTCTTTGGGATGGGAGCTGTTTTTTCTGGATTTCCTGCTGACACTCAGGGAAAATGAATCAAAGCCACAAAATCAAGGTGAGAGGTGGGGCTGAATTTTATGAATTGCATTAACATAATCATTTTCATGTACAAATTAAACTTAGCTAGGAAGTTACTTGAGAAACAAAAATTTCAGTTAAGGCTCTTTATGAAAAGGGAATGAACAAAGAATGAACCAGACTTGTTTTTGTAAAGAGGCATCTCCTCTGCCTAGCACAGGTGCAGGCCAGATTCTTGGGACCTTTCGATGACCTGCTAATGCCATGCATTATGTAGCTAATTCTCAGCAAGTGTTCATTGAAGAAATGGTTTCATGATCATAAAACACCAAAAATAATTTTTAAAACATTTTTGACCAGTTAAGGGGAAAATATGGATAGCCATAAACTGGGCGAGCTAGGAATAGGAATGGAGATAGGATCAGCCAGAGATGAGAATGGGAAGGGACAGACAGAAAAAAAGAGAGGGACAACCTCGGTAAGCTCAGAGGTATTATTCTTGACACATTCTGCTATTGACTCCAGAGACTGCTGACTGTTTATCTGCTATCACAGGTTAGAGTTACCTGTTAATTACTGTTCACAGTACAACCCTCCAGAGGTTCTGCTTTCAGTGACCAAGCCACAGCAGGACAAGTGAAGGAATCATGCTCTAGTCCAGAGGTAGCATCAGTATATTAGGCCAGTCTCTCTTTTTTTTTTTTTTTTTTTTTTTTTTTTTTTTTTGTAGAGATGGGGTTTTGCCATGTTGCTCAGGCTGGTCTCGAACTCCTGGGCTCAAGCAGTTCTCCTGCCTTGGTCTCCTGGAGTGCTGGGATTACAGGTGTGAGCCACTGTGCCCGGCCAACCATTCTTGCATTGCTATAAAAAATAGCTGAGACTGGGTAGTTTATTTTTTTCTTTTATTTTAGGTTTGAAGTTACATGGGCAGGTTTGTTATATAGGTAAACTTCTGTCACGGGGTTGGTTGCCTAATAGTCATTTTTTCTGCTCTCTCCCTCCTTCCACCCTCCACCCTTAAGTATACCTCAGTGTCTGTTGTTCCATTTGTGTTCATGAATTCTCATCATTTAGCACCCACTTATAAGTAAGAACATACAGTATTTGGTTTTCTGTTCCTGTATTAGTTTGCTGAGGATGATAGCTTCCAACTCCATCCATGTTCCTGCAAAAGACATGATCTTGTTCTTTATTATGGCTGCATAGTATTCCACGGTGTATATGTATCACTTTTTTTTTTCATCCAATCTGTCATTCATGGGCATTTAGGTCGATTCCATATCTTTGCAACTGTGAACAGTACAGCAATGAACATTCTCATGCATGTGTCTTTATGGTAGAATGATTTCTGTTCCTCTGAATATGTAATAGTAATGGAATTGCTGGCTCAAATGGTAGTTCTGTTCTTAGCTCTTTGAGGAATTGCCATACTACCTTCCACAATGGTTGAACTAATTTACACTCCCACGTGTGTAAGAGTTCCCTTTTTTCTGTAACCTCACCAGCATCTACTATTTTTTGACTTTTTAATCATAGCCATTCTGACTGGTATGAGATGGTACCTCATTTTGGTTTTGATTTGCATTTCTCCAGTGATCAGTGATATTGAGCTTTTTTCATATGCTTGTTGGCCACATGTATATCTTCTTTTGAAAAGGAGACTGGGTAATTTATAAAGAAAAGAGGTTTAATTGGCTTGCGGTTCTGCAGGCTGTGGAAGCAAGGCACCAGCATCTTCTTAGAGAGGCCTCAGGGAGCTTTTCCTCATGGTGGAAGGAAAGCAGAAGCAAAAGAGAGCTGGGGCAGGGAGATGCCACACACTCTTAAACAACCAGATCTCACGAGAACTCACTCACTGTTGGAGGGACAGCACCAACCCATGAGGGATCCGCCCCCGTGATCCAGTCACTTCCCAGCAGGCCCCACCTCCAACACTGGGGATTACAATTCAACATGAGATATGGGTGGAGACAAATATCCAAACTAGATCAATCAGTAACCAGAATTTTACCTTAAGACCTAAATTAAATCAAATAAAAGACAAAGTTGAGGTTCCAAGTGTTGACTTGTCACTAAATCTTTTTAAAATCATTTTCAGAGCCTTAAAAAAAAATCAGAACACCTCATTTTTACATTTTAAACTCTTACCCTGAGACACAAAGTACGTAACATAATTAAGATGGTTGCTGTTGGTGGCCCCAGTCCATGCCCTCAGCTCTCCCTGTGCCTGTCCAGCCCAGCAGCTTCCTACTCACTATAGGCATCTGTGACTCCGACTTAAAGGCTTTTTCATGGCAGCCACCAACCAGAAGTGTCATGTAGTTAAGACACTGTGGAGCATCCTCAGTCCATAACAGATGGAAACTGGTAGATAAATACTCCTGGCAAGGGAACTGGAAGCGTAAGTTACACTGTTGCAATAACTACATTTTTTAGTTTCTATATTTGATGATTTGGACATCTGCGGCCTTGCTGACCCCAGAGAAACTGTCCTCCCCAGGCTACTGGATTCCTAGTGCTAATAAAGGACTCACCTGCAAACACGCCTTTCATGTGCAAAGCAGCCAGTGCAGAGCCCAAACACCAACTGCCTTCTTTGTATGGTCTCACAGGGCTCTCTACTCTGAGTCACTGTCTGCTTGCCCTGATTACCCCAGGGCCGGGTACCAGACAACTCAGGACGGCCCTTGTGCCCCAGAAATCTGCCAAAAGTATTCAATCAAGATTAGTCACACTCCCCTGTGGTGTGGCCTGTTCCCTCCTCTTGGGATCTGTGAGTGTAACAAGCTATATATATATATATATATATTTTTTTTTTTTTTTGGCAGGGGCGGGGGCGGTGGGGGAGATGGAGTCTCCCTCTGTCACCAGGCTGGAGTGCTGTGGCACTATCTTGGCTCACTGCAACCTCCAACTCCCTGGTTCAAGTGATTCTCCTGCATCAGCTTCCCGAGTAGCTGGGAGGAGTACAGGCAGGCGCCACCATGCCCAGCTAATTTTTGTATTTTTAGTAGAGATGGGGTTTCACCATGTTGGCCAGGATGGTCTCAATCTCCTGACCTCTTGATCAGCCTGGCTTACCCTCCCAAATTGCTAGGATTACAGGCGTGAGCCACTGTGGCTGGCCTCAAGCTATATTTTTAATGGCAGTCATGTCCTGATCTATTGGCCATGCCATACCTAAATAATAATAAAACCTACCTTGTAAAACAACTGTCCCCCACACTTTTCCAGTGAGTTTGAGCCTCCATTGCCCAAAACACAAATCTACTCCATATCATACCCTTTATTGATTTTCCTTCCTTCCCTCTGTCATTTCCCTACTCCCCAGCTAGTGCTTCTTGGAGCCACCTCCCAAATAAATGACTTACACTCCAATCATTCTAGAACCTGCTTCTAGGGAACCCAACGTAAGGTAATAATATATAAAGATGGAGTTGCTCTGATGGAAGCTGAGCCGCCTCCTCCTGCTCCTCAGTCCTTCCCAGGCCATCTCTATGGAGCCCTGGGGTTCCATAGAAAGAGAACATAATTTGAGAACTACTTTCTTAAACTATGTTGGGATTAACAAACAAGTAAAACTCATCATTACCCACCCAGCAGTATTTTCAGAGGTAAAAAACTTACTTCTCAAGTTTGCATGCTTCAAAATGTATTGCCTTTAATAAGTATATAGCAAAATATCAATAAGAAATGAATATACCTAATGGAATGCTATCTTATTAAAATAGGTAATTTCTCTACCTGAGAGTCTAATTTATTTTTAAATAGATGCTTGCACACCAGGCCTGCATTGGTGGTCTGGAAATTGAAATCCATGTTAAGAGCAGTCTTTAAGCTGTATATTTTAAGGGGATGTTGCCTTCAAGAGAAAAATAGACTGGTATACACTTCAGTGCTACCTACATTTACAGTTGTTGACAGGGCTTACACACTCTTGCTATTGTATTTCTAACACTTGCAAAATAACCTACTTAAGTGTCAATTGCTTATCTTAGTATTTACTCCACCACCAGCCTTATTAGTAAATCTTTTCTAAATGGGCTAATTGATAATCTCAAAACAGTTGTAAAGTCTGCCTTTTCCCAAAAATGATGTGTAATTAGGTCAAGGATGAGAATTCTTCTGGAGTCTGCAGAAGGTGTGAATCACTTGGAGCAGATTGTTTCAACTGCTCACTGAGGTTGGGCTTCCCTAAAGGAAGCCTGTAACTGCAGACAACTGTAGGGCACAGTTTATACTATTCACTTGTGAGTACTAGAATTAGTCAGAATTCTTTGGGCTGCAAATGATGGAAATCCAGCACAATTGGTTAAATAAAAGGGGAATGTATTATTGAGCATTATGGAAAGGTCAAGGCTTTGGCATGGCTGGATCCAGGGGTCAGACGATGTCTCCTATGTTAGATCTTACTCTCTCTTCACTCTCTGCTGCCCCCATTTTCAGGCAGGCTGTTACCTCATAGTGACACACTGGCTGTCAGCAACTCCTGGCATATATCCTATCTTCTTAGAAACCCCAATGCCAAGAGAACGCCTCTTTCCTAGTTGACCTAGCAAAAGCCCCGAGACTCAGTCCCACCAGAACAACTCAGGTCAGGTGCCCAGCCCCTGACCCATCACTGTGGCCATGGGGATGCAATGCTGGGATTGGTCCAGCCTGAGTCACATGCCTACCCCTGGAGGAAAGGGAGCCCCCAAGTGACATCACGATGCTCTTACCAAAGGAAGGTTACCACGGGTAACAGGCAAGCAAAGGCAACAGATGCTCTCTGAGCAGGTATAAGCTCCTCATGGTGAAGGTCTAGAACCAGTGGTGTCTGCTTTATTCCCAAGGCTAATAACAAGGGTAATGCTTTGCCTTAGAGTTCTACTGCCTCTCCTAGACTATGTATGACTGTAATTCTGTGACTAACTTACTGTGTGTCTATGAAAAAAATGTGTTTGCCTGCCAGGTTTCTGGGGCTTCCCACATAGTCACTGGGAAGAAATAATACAGCCTCTTCACCTTCAACCCATGAATAGCTAGCATCTTAGAATAGAGACATTACATAGGCGGTGTTGGCCAGGCACAGAGGCTCACTCCTGTAATCCCAGTACTTTGGGTGGCTGAGGTGGGTGGATCGCTTGAGCCCAGGAGTTCAAGACCAGCCTGGGCAACATGGTGAAACCCTGTCTCTACAAAATTTACAAAAAAATTAGCCTAGCTTTGTGGTATGTGCCAGTAGACCCAGCTACTCAGGAGGGTGAGATGAAAGGATCACCTCATCCAGGGAGGTCAAGACTGCAGTGAGGTCACACCACTGCACTCCAGCCAGGGTGACAGATTGAGACCCTATCAAAAAAAAAAAAAAAAAGGCAATGTTTGGAGAGTTCTCCAAAGATAGATAGTCTTAGAATGCAAATTAATTACAGGGAAACTTATGGCTGGGTGAGAAGGAAGTGGTGTCCCTTTGCCATCTTGCAGGATCATGTGGAACTCACTTGTCCCCAATAAGCCTCATTCCCACTTGTAAAATTACCTCTTGTGGAAGAAGAAAAGCATAGCTACTGTCCTCACTATGTTGCTATTTACTTCCTACTCTTTGAAAAGATTTTTCTAATGACAAGTGGAGACAAGACAGGGGTGAAAAATGTATGAATTTTTTAGCAGTAGCTGAGTGGAGCCCCTGAATGTGCTACTCCCTGGGCCTGAAATGCTCTGTGCCCAGATCAACATGTGGCCAGCTCCACTTAGGACTCAGCTAAATTGTCACCTCCCCAGAGAGGCCTTCCCTGATCATCCTAAACTGTCTCCCATCCTAGTCCTTGTTTGTCAGAGCTTAATAGCACTTATCACTCTGTAATTACCGTGTTAATTATCTGTCTCTCTCATTAGGATGTAACCTCTAGGAGAGGAGGGGCCATAATCTGTTTTGTTCACTGTGGATGTTCATCATCTTCCATGGTGCATGGCACATGGTAGACATTCAGTAAATGAGGGATGGATGGATGGATGGATGGATGGATGGATGGATGGATGGATGGATGGATGGATGGATGGGTGGGTGGGTGGGTGGATGGATGAATGGATAGATGGATGGGTGGATGGATGGATGGGTGGATGGATGGATGGATGGATGGATAGATGGGTAGGTAGGTGGATGTATAGATGTGGGTGGGTGGATGGACAGATGGATGGATGGATGGGTGGGTGGGTGGGTGAATGTGAGGGCAGATGAATGGAAAAGCCCCAAATTATGTCTGGGTTTATGGCTTCTTAGTCCAGAAGGAAATCTACTGTGGTAGTAGCAGAAAAGAAATCTATCCACAGTCATAATATTAAGCAGCCCACTAGCTACAGGGTTTATTAACACATCATAGAATCCTGCGTGTGAAACCAGAAAGAGTAAAAGGAACAGGAGGTTGCTGAGTCAACAAAGGCAAGTTTGTTCCATCAGCGTTAGCTGTCCTAGAGGGTCAAGGGAGAACCCCTGGTCTTGCCATCAGCAGAATTTTAAATGAGGTTGCAATGTTGCAATTGATTGTAGTTACCTAGTTTCCATATGAAAGAACACTTACAATTCAGCCAAATGATTACAGCATCTGGAAAAAAAATCTTTATTTCACTCTTTCTACAGCCCCTTATATCCTGGGAATAAATACCATCAATTCTGAGATTTGTGAGGCAAATCCACACCCTTCATTGGTTGCCGGTACTTTGGATCAGTGGAGAATTCCATCTGTCAGGGCATTTGCTGCATCATAACAGTTGTTGAATTTTCTTCAGGCAACAGATGAAGAACTCTGTCTACCGAAGCCGGCAGTCTCTGAACAGCCCGAGTCCAGGGGAAACCGAGATGGACCTTCTGGTGACTCGGGAGCGACCCCGGCGTGGAATCCGCAACAGCGGATATGATGTGAGTCTCTGGTGGGCTGGGTGAATACAAGCTTTGCTTTCCCCTGAAGGCAAGGGGGATAGAGCATCCCATTGTGTTTCGGTTTACCACATATTTGTGGAATTTTAAAAGGGCCTAAAACATTTTCTATTTTTTTATTACCTAGTTTCCAAAGTAGGACTACTTGGAATGTGTCAGAGTAACAGATTATTGCTAAAAGGATCATGATTTCCGAATTGTGCCATGTTATGAATAGCACATTACGGACCTTAAACTCCATGGATATTCTAAATGTCCTGAATTTATTCTCCCCTCTGTCCTTAGAAACTCAGTAGGGACTGTGGCCATGGGTTAGAATTCACTTGAACACAGGCTTCTTTTAATTCATAGCGATGTTGAAAAGTTGGATTTGTTCCTGATTTCATAACTACTCGGTATGCCATGGAAACAATGAGATGTCCAACAGGGCGGTTTGATAATTTCATGTGACAAAGCACATGCTTATGTTCAGTGATGTGGCCAAGCTGCAGAAATTATTTTAATCCCGTCAGATTTCCCCAGATGATGAGTTGCAATTTGGTGCCTCCTCTCCAGCTGCCTGCACCCCGTGACTTGTCTTTGGACCCATGAGCTCAGGTGAATGGTCCTGTGCTGAGAGGTACAGTAATGCCTCAGCCTGCCCCAGCATTTCACATGATCTTGAATCTACACCTAAGTTTGTGAACAGTGTTTCCTTCCCATTCCCCTAAAATGTTTCTCTAAATATAAATAAACATTTTTTAAAATAAGAGTTATAATTCAAATATATCTAGATAAACTTATAATTTGAGAAATTGTAGTTTGACACTTGGTTTTTTTAAATATACTGTGCTAATTAGAAGGCAACAATATTTTTCCCCCTCAGGATTAGTCATCTTTTGCCACAAAGCCTTAAAATGGGATTTTTTTAATGGTCCAATTTAAAACAAAGATATTCTACCTAATTTGAATTTCTAATCACCTTCCTTATATTTAAACTTGATGTTTGTGTTGGTCGTGTTACCCTTATCTTTTGTTTCTTTTTCCTTTTTCATAAAACACTTTGGTAGTTTAGTTTTATAAAATTACAGATGCTTTGGGCAAATCTTTTATTTTTCTGCTAGGTTAAATTATTCAATGTTAATTTTTCTCCTTATAAAAAATATTTCCTATGCCAAATTCGTTCAGCAATTTGATAATCAGCCTGTGATTAAAAATCGGGCATTGGAAGCTTCCAGTTAATCTTTCCCCACCAACAGTGAACCTTCTTCCTCGATGCTTGCTTAGTTTGGGGAACTTTTTCATCTGCCCAGGCATCTGAGACACAGTAGGATTCTTAATTTATTTCAAGACTGGCATTAATAGGGTTTTTTTGTGAGATTCTAGGCAAAAACACTTTGACAGTTATGAGGAAATGGGTCAGAGGTTTCCCTATTAACCTTAAAAACAGAACATTGAAGATCGTTTCTTAACCAAGTGACATGACTTGCAGCACTCACTTAATACCTTTGGAATGTCATGTTAGCAACTTACCTAGAACAATAGAAGGAGGGAGATGATTTTTAGGAGGAGATTGCTCACCCTCACAGACATGTATACCAAGTACATGTTACTTTAGGGGAAGCCTGCTTTATTCTAATAGACTTCTTTAAAATAGATATTTCTTTGAGAAGTGCACGTGATCTCAAAAATATGATGATGAGCCCCCTTAAGAGAAAAATGATCATCTCGGGAATGGCTTTAAGAATTTAGACTGTTGACTGTAAGAATGAAATTGCTTACCTATATCTCCTCTTGTGCTTTTTATACTAATCATATGAAAAATGTCTAATATTTACCAACTGCTAACTATAGACCAAGCCCTATTCTAGACTTTTCATGTGTATTATCTCATTGCATTTGCATAGTTATCAGCCAAGTAGATGCTTTCATTATGCCTGTTGTATAGATGAAGAAACTGAGGCCAGTTATATAATTTGCCTATCCAGCCCCAGAGCCCCTCCCCTTAACCACCATGCAGTATGGCTTCTATATTCATCCTTCCTCACTATACATCTGTCCTTACATAATATAATCCATATCCTATATTTTTGAACCTCTGGAAGCAGCTAGATGTCAAGGCTCACAAGCATTCTTACATGAATAACTCACACAAGCAAAACATGGACCAGCAAGTAAAGTAGGAAATAAAAGTGAATCATAGTTTTAAACAATGCATTTATTTTCTGAGCTCTTGATTTTCTAAAATTACCAGAGCACTTCTGGCAAAAGAATCCATTAGCACAGCAGTGAGCCGGTCATTCAATCGGAAACATGTCATTCTTCCCACTGGGTCTGGGGATCTAGAAGCCCTGCCAAAATATCCAGTCCTTTCTGCCAGGTTGGGGAAACTTGACACCGTAGAAGCAAAAGCACTGGGAGATTGATTTAATTTTGCGTTTTTTGAAAGATGACTGGAGTCCCAAAGGAAAAGCCTGAATGTAAAAATAAATGAATAAATGCGTAAATAAGCAAATACATGCTACACAGGCCAATCTTAGCACCAGGACTGTAGCAGCATGGATTGTTTCAGAATGTTCCCATAGAGCAAGAGTTATTAGGGCCTATAGGAGGGAGACCCTTAGCTCCAAGGGGTTTGGGATCACTGTGTTTTACAGCAACAATCTTCAACCTTTTGGTCAAACTGCCAGCTAAGGGATGTAGTACACTCTCGGCAGTAACGATGCCTCACGTGGTAGTAATATTTTAGAAGGACGCATTCTTATTAGAAGGATGTGTTATTTTCTTTTTTTTTTTTTTTTTTTTTTGAGACGGAGTCTCTCTCTGTTGCCCAGGCTGGAGTGCAGTGGCCGGATCTCAGCTCACTGCAAGCTCCGCCTCCCAGGTTCACTCCTGCCTCAGTCTCCCGAGTAGCTGGGACTACAGGCGCCCGCCACCACGCCCGGCTAGTTTTTTGTATATTTTTTAGTAGAGACGGGGTTTCACCATGTTAACCGGGATGGTCTCAATCTCCTGACCTCATGATCTGCCCGTCTCGGCCTCCCAAAGTGCTGAGATTACAGGCTTGAGCCACCGCACCCAGCCGCATGTGTTATTTTCACAAGATGCTCCAAACTCCCAAAAGACCAGATCATATTATTAAACCAACTTTGGCATTGAAATTAATTCATCCCTATGTATAAAACAGGTAGAAAAGAAAATGTCAGCCTAATGTGTAAAAGCAAAAATATCTCTATTTCAAAGAATTTTTAAAATGTTATTTTCTGAATGAAAGTCATGTGGAAAATAATGAAACAGTGAGGAAAAGAAAAAATGCTGCAAATATGATTCTCAGGCAGAATAAACACCTAAGAGATTTTTCCTTTATCAGTCAAATTATTTACCCCAGTATGTGGATATGAAGCCTTTGCTTCCAAAGGGCAAGTAATCATTAAATCATCCCCCAGAAAGAAAAATGCACCTCTTCAACCTTGATCTGTTTTTGGAGTTTAAAAATAGGTGGCAGGAAGGGAGCCAGCTATGTGCCTTGGCTATGAGGGAGACTCTGAAATTTATTGTTTGAATTATAACTTTGAAAATGAATGTTGACCTCTCAGAAGTAGGGACTTTTACAAACTACTTCTCTTCGTTTCTCTCTAGCACCTTACCTAAAGTTCCATGCACTGGAGGTAGTTGCCAGTGCAGTGGGCTCAGACCCTAAAATGTGGGCAGTGGGTTTGCAAATGTTAAAAAGGATGGTTGATTCACTGATGCATCTCAAAGAGATGATCACAGTCATTAGTTCTCATTCCGGAGGCCTTCTCTGGGGAAATGTTTGAAACCAGATGCTTCTACAGCTGAAAAGTACATGTAAATCTATAAAAAGGGGTATCAGGCAAAGTCCAGCTGCAGAAAACTGAAAACATCAAGCTGTTTAAAACAGACCCAAAAAAATGACTCTTAGGAATTAGGTGCTCACAAAATCATGGGCGGGCTGAAGGAATGTTCCTGGAAAGATTCCTAGAACAAGATCACAGGGCTGGCCCTGAGGAGGGGCGGCTGCCTCTTCCTCAAGCAGGAAGGTGGAGAAGCGGCCTGCCCTGGAACACCGAGGTTAAGAAAACTCAGTCGTAGCATGATCCAGGAATGAGAGAACTCCATAGAGCCGGGGTTAAGGGCTGTGGTGCTCAGCAACCCAGCTTCCAGCAGCCAAGGCAGCAGAAAGATGGGCCTGCCCCATTTCCTCCATCCAAAGTGTACACAGAATCTAACTGACAGAACCGAAGTCTCATCCGCAGCCGCAGCCTCCTGGAAGGCCAGGAGATAGAAGTTAGCCATTCAGCCTCAACAGTACAGCAATGCACGCTACAAGGAGGTTGCCTGTCCATTACCTCCACTGCAGGCACCAGGTGAAAGCGAAAGGAGAGAAAAATTACCAAGCAGGGCAATACTCAGGAAGCAGTTGGGACATCTAGTGAATAAAAGTATATCCCAAAGGGGAAAATGAGCCCATTTCTCAGAGCTCAGTCTACAAAGGCCTGCTGAAGAAGGCCTGGGTGCATTGTCTGATGTCAAGCCTCAAGGCTGACAATGCAGCCAGCTAGCTTCCTTTGTTACAGGTGAGCAGTGGTTACTGGAAGGAGACGAAGGAATTGAAACGGTTGTTTTGATGAGTTCCACTTGTCGAGCAATGAAATATTACCTGGAAAGTCCCTGACTGCTCACAAAGCTTATGGCAAGTCTAGGACCTCCTAGGTAAATTTGTAATCCTATTATTAACAGAAATCTCTTCTGCCCACCCACTTCCCATACCTGCCCCAGCATCTTACAGCTTTGGTGTAACAGAGACCAAGGCCAACCACAGGAATGCCCTGGTGCTGCATAATGGAGTGGTCCCAGTTAAGGATACAACCAGCTCTTTGCTTCATTGGGAAGCAATTGGTTGGATTTGGAGATTTTGTCCTTTATTCTAGAAGCAACCTTCTTGTTGCCCCCCTGACCTAGGTGCTCTTGTGTTGACCCCA